CGAAATTTTATCCATCCAAAATCCACTCTGATCAATAGAGTTTTGAAGCCAAGTCTTAACGTATGACGACAAAGAATTATTCTGTTGAAAGTGCGAGAAGAATGAACCAGCGCTGGGGATATTATGACGAAAACAATCCAATAGCGAAGGTTCGGTAAGGCCACGATTATCAGTGCTAAAAGCGTGAGGAGCTGTACATGTTCATAAATGCGATGACATTTCGGGAGCGGAAGAACACTGAGGACACAACGAAGGATGTGCGTATAAGTCAGGAGCGTGTAGTCGTCGATGGGACAGAGTAGGAGCGCGTCGAAAAACAATTTCAACCGAAAAATAGTCAAGTTGTGGTCTTTAAAGTACGTGCGCGGTCCAAAATCGAGAAAAATTTCCAGGTAAGGTTCCAAGAATAAGAAGTCGCGTTATACGCGTATCGTGTTAATCTAGATAGAGAGAAAAAGGTTTGAAAATATAATTGATCATGACGTGGGGAAATAAATTTCCGAAGGTCGGAGTCGATATGAATGCCATTAAAAGCAAGAGATTTGGACGACAAATGGTCTTTGGCGAGAGCGTCAGCGCGATTGTTAAGAGCCATAAGAGCATCATCCGAGTGGGCAGGAACTTTAGTAAAGGTCAGACGAAGAGACTTAGAAATACAAAGTCGCTTGAAATACGATAGTTCTTTAGACGAAGTGTGCGTGAACAGAAGGGGGTAGATAACACTTTAATGGCGGAAGAAATACTAATAGCTATTGAAATTCAGCGGAAGCGCCTGTTGGGAGGAGTTCCAAAACCGATAGTGCAGCATATAATTCGCAGTGGGACTGAGGAGGATCGGTGAGATAAAATAAATCCTTGTTCATCAACCGAGTCCCATAGAGATAAAATATATAGTGGTTATCCGGCGCAGAGCAAAGGTAGGGGCTAGAAGGATTAATAGATTGTGGTGTAATCACCGAATCAATAAGAGCAGGAGTAAAATTATCTTGTAAAGTATCAATATTCAAAGGGATGAAGGGAACTAAATCTATTACAAAAAGCTTTAAGAGAAGAAAAAATATAATAATAAGATAAATTAATAAAAAGGGTAAAAGAATGCAAATGCAATCTAGAAGGCAAGGTAGTTAAGCGAATCATCCAATAGGTAGAAGCGCGCAACCAGCAGGAGACGCCATGAGCAGAAGGTATTTGGATCGTTTGATTGAAGAATTATTAAATTACATCCAGTACACGGTCGCAAGGATAGAGAGCTAGAATGAGACGTGAAGGTATTTTCCGGGGAATTATCCAGGATTATGGACCAATGTGAGAGAATAACCTCGGAAGAAGGAGCTGTTCGTAAAGTTCGTCCAATAATAAGTTCCGAGGAATTCAAGGTAGAATCATCAGGAGGGGAGTCGAAGATTTGGTAGTTAATTGGTAGCAATCCACGTATTGTGAGTTGAAGTTATTAAAATAATCTACTATATGTACAAAGTTTGATATGATTATCTAAATTCGTAAATTTTATTATAAAATGTCTTAATATTAGGTCTTTTTTTGGATCATCTCAACATTGTTCCGTTAATTTTTTACTATTTTTGGTCTTCATCCCAAAATATTATTTTTATTGCAAGTTCATAATTATGATCAAAATTAATAAAAAGTGGCTGTCCAGATGAAATTCCCATATTTCCCATATAAGCATACTACATATCAATTAGATGTTCAACGTCCAACGAACATTGTCTAAATCCAACACTGGTTGGGATATATCTGATATCTGATATATGTATGACAACAACAGATAATTTTTAATGGCTACAGTACGATTTTCTGAATGACATATTCCCGAATACTGTATACCTTTTCCTGAAGTTAATTACCTGAATGCCAATTTTCCGATCTGGACATTTTCCTGAAACATTCAATTTCCAGAATTCTCGTTTCCCGAATCCCAATTGCATAAATTGCTGTTTTTGAATTTTGTTAAACAATTTATCATTCAACTAGAATGGTTCACTTTATAAAATTTGGGAAGAAAGGTGATGCAATCATCTGAAAAATCACTTCGATATGTCAAGAAAAATTGATCATAACTGAAAAATACTGAAATTATACCGAGAAATTTTCTCCCAAGTATAAATTAATTTGATTTTTTTTCCTTTGATAATGATTAAAATCTTTGTATTGTTTAGATTTAGTAATATATGCAGTAAATAGAATTTGCGAAATGATCAGCTGATGATCACATGCGCAAATATTTTTTCTTAATTTCAGAGCTCGCGAGCCGGCTCATGACTCTCGAACGAGCTGCATTGAAGCTCGACTCGAACGAGCTGAGCTAAATTGATTGCGAGCTGCGACTCGGCTCGGCTCAATATACCTGGCTCGCGAGCTTGCTCGAGCTGGCACGGCTCGACGGCTCGTGCGGAGCATTAATGAATACCATCTATTAAAAAACCTTGTCGGATCATTTCCTGAACACCATTTTCCCGAATATACCTTTTCTTGAAGTTAATTACCTGAATGCCAATTTTCCGAACTGAATCATCCAATTTCCTGAATCCCGTTTCCCGAATTCCAATTTCATTGAAGTCCAATTTCATGAATCCGAGTTTCCGAGTTCCAGCAGTATCCTGAATCCCAATCTTCTGAATTTCAATATCCTGAATTCCAATATTCCGAATGGACAATTTCCTGAAACATATGACAATAAAATATATTTTTTAAAATTTACTGCATAATACAATAGATGGTATTCATAGTGATTATATAAAAAAAGTACCGATGGCGAGTTAAATAATCTATAAATTTTAAATTCTAATTTTACTAATTTTACTTTATTTATTTTAAAGGTGAAATATATTTTCATTCAGAAGAACAAATACCCGATCATGGTTCTTTAAAAATATTGAAACATTTTAATTTTATTTTGAATTAATATTAACTGTTCTTATTAGATACTTATACGAACAAAAATTTATAAGATAAAGATTATTGCAAATTTTTTAGTTTGTAATTAGGGTACCCAATAACTGTGTTATTATACAAACGTCCAAGATCATGTTCCATATAAAAAGCATACTAGTAAACAATAGGTATTTAAAATTAATGTGTGATATTTAATCTAAAATCTAAATGACGTAATGCGTCGACGTAATACGTCAAAAATATCATAACCTTTTAGCGTTGTAGAATGTGAAGAATGGCGACAAATTGCCAAATTTGATCCGGACAATATCGTAAATTTATTTGAAGAAAAATGAAGTTATTGGCGATACAACAAATTCCAGGAAAGTTGTATATGAATATCTCAGATTGAGATGTAATCAACTTCCATCTTGGAAACGATTTATTTATTTTTTTATAGTAATTTATATTGATGTAAATAAATTTAAAATGGCGTTATACATATCTGATATTAACGCCTTTATTTGTAAATTTAGCTTAGGGAATTGGGGTTAGTGTTATAAATAGTCGATAATCCCGGCCTCTTGAATTTATGCAAGATTTGTGGCATAACACATTTATTCGCAATTCAATTTGTAAAAAAAGTACGTGAAGTTGATATTATACTACTTTGTAAATGAAGAAAGCGACTACTGTATAGCGCTGCATACAGGCTAGAATTCCAAGTAAGTTAAGTTAGTTGAATAGTACCCGAGGGTACTATGCAGGAAATAACTTTGACCAAATATCAATTTTGGCCAAAATTAGCGCCGGATACTATTCAAAATATCGAAATTCGTAGTTTAGTACCCGATACTACTTAAAGGGGGATACTATTATTGCATGCGGTGCTGTACGATATAATTTTGAATTGTAAGAATTTGTAAAAGAACGATGTAATTCTTGTACTATTTTTAATAATAATTTAATAACTATTTTAAAATAAATTGATACAAGTCAGGATACTACTATCCATTAATAATGTTGAAGATTGCTTTTTTAATATTATCAGGAATGTTTAAATAATTTTGAATATTTTATTTCTGAACAAATTCTACAATCCAGTATCAAAACTTCCTAGTTTAATAATAATAGTAATAATACCTATAGTCCTATAACCAAAAATATTTTTTTATACCTCTGCACAAGAATATGCAATTAAAAAGTCAAGGTTTACTGACCCGCTAAAGTTAGAAAAGTCTACGCCTGTTTGAGTAACAAAAGGAGAGTGTGTGAGTGGAATACGAATTGTACCGACATCCACGTCGTACAGCCGGTATATAATTGACAAACAGCCTTTTTTAACGAATTTAAATGATTGTAATTTATCAAATATTTCATTCTTTATTACAACGATAATAATTATCAATTTAATTACATTTTACAGTATAATACACCTAATATACCAGAATAATACATATAACAGATAACATATCTTTAAATTCAATTAAAAATTCTAGAAGTAGGATTAGAAGATAAAATGTATTCACATTTTATTGTAAAAATAAATAATAGTTATTTTTACCCGTATAAATATTATATATATATTTTCAATACTATTATTATACCAAATTGTTGTATCACAAAGAAATAAGTTATAATAATTTCCTTTTAGTCTTTATTAAAACTTAGTAATTAATTACGTATAATATTTACTTATTCAAATTAAACAATTATAATAACAAAGATATTTTATTATTAAAAATTTTGCGTTTCAAGCATTGTACGTTTGAATAACGTAATAAAAAATTATATTATTACTTATAACGTTAATGTAATGTTGTGATACATATGATTAACACGCTTAAAACTGTAATGGAATGTGTAATTTATGCAATTCATTTATGATTGGCAAAATGCGGATCATGTTCTAATTAGAATGAACTGTGAAACAAAAACATTAAATCATTTGACATTTCGGCGGAAATGTTCCGTAATAACCAAACTTTTTTTCTAAATACTAAAGTTCTTTCAAACCAATGGCTATTCGTAAAGAAGTAGTTAGTACCGCTATTAACAAAGCAGACGCATTAATAAATAAAAATATTCATAATAATATTGATAAACAGTTCGACTTCAGAAAGCAAACCATTTTTTCGGATGAAACTCTTACAAGCGAAGAAACTTCTGAAATATTGAGAATATTAAGTAAACACCGGGATAAAGCTAAACTTCTTATTAATGAAGGATCAAAAAGATTTTGCGAAAATTGCAAAGAAGAATGTTTAGCTACATTATATTGTGAAAATTGTGTTCGAAAGTTTTTAAAAAATAATTTTTCAAATTGGACTTCTGAAAATGATAATATTGATAAATTAATTCAAAAATGTCAATTGGAAACACTTACTCCATATAATGTAGTTGAATGGATTCCTTATGATTCCTTAGAAAATGTAAAATATTTAACGAAAGGTGGATATTCAGAAATTTATTCAGCAGATTGGAAGGATGGAAAATATTATGAATGGGATTCTAAAAACCAATCATTAAAGAGGAAAGGTACAAGTAAAGTAGTTCTAAAAAAATTGAAAAACATAGAAAATGCAAGCAAAAATTGGTTTGAAGAAGTACGTATATACATAAATACATGTGTATATTAAACATATTTTTATTGACGAATTTTTTTCCTACCTTTTTTTAGGCGAAATCTTATTTCATTGCAAGTAATAATTGGAAGACTATTGTTAAATATTTTGGTATAACTCAAGATTCAATGTATGGAAATTATATACTTGTAATGAAACAATTGGATATGGATTTAAGAAAATATTTACAAAAAAATCACAAGCAATTAAAATGGGGAGAAAGGATGCAGATGACGTTTAATATAATTAGTACACTTCACAACATACATGGAGAAAATATTATTCACAAAGATTTGCATTCTGGAAATATATTATATTTAGAGAAAAATAAGATTTGGTATATAAGTGATCTTGGATTTTGTGGTCCCGCTAATAAGCCATTGAATAGTATATATGGAAATCTTCCTTACATAGCACCAGAAGTTATATACAAAAAAGAGTATTCTTCAGCATCAGATATATATAGTATTGGTATGCTTATGTGGGAAATTTCATCTGGACAACCACCTTTTAGTAGTTATGAACATGATTATAATCTTGCAATTAGAATAGTAAATGGGCAAAGACCGGAAACAGTATTGGGAACCCCTTCAGGGTATAGAGAATTGATGGAGCAATGTTGGAATGCTAATCCATTAAAAAGACCTGATATTAATGTACTTTTAAATGATATAAGAGAAATTAAAAGATCATATTATGAGAATAAAATTGACCAGAAATCAGAAGATTCGGTTAATGACCTAATAGATGTAAATTCTACTTTAAACACAAAAAATATTGGCAGCAAACTTTATACTTTTAAGGATATTCCTATACCAAAAAATATTATTGAAGGTAACTGAGATGTTTCTATAAATTATTTTGCCCATTAATTGACATTTATAATTAATTTTTTTGTAAATGAACAGATAATGATGAAATATTTAACAATCCTAACCTTCATTCAGAAGATCAAGACGAATTAGAAATTCCTGATGGTAAATATAATTATAGCATCACATTTGTAAAATGTTTTATTTAATAAGCTGAATAATTTTATTTGTTATAATTTAGATATTGAAGATATACTTGGTATTCCAATTGATGTCAAGAATGATAATAATAATGATGAACCAAAACAGATACCAGATGAAGGTAATATTATTGAATATTTTTTTATTGTTATGGATTTAAGTATTTACATATAATTTTATGTACAACTATAGATAGTGTAAGTAATGATTCAAAAAAGAAAAGAAATTGCTCAAGTATTAATGTTCTTAAAGGTAAATATTATTTATATTTTACCAGTAGTATTTCTTTGTAATGTTTATAATTTATATTATATTTTAAAAAAAATTAGATATCATTACGAGATTAACAAAAAAAAAACCTAAAAAAAGTAAGTTAAAAATTACATATTATTAATTAACATACCCAAATTTAATTATGATAATATTATAAAATAATAAGATTTTATTCAAATTTATGAAATTTAAAATTTTTTAAAAAAATTCTTATAAAAATATGAAAATTTAGTGTGATATTATACTATAGAATTTATGGTTTTTAAATTGGAGATAAATAGAAAGGTGGAAAGTGGGAATGGTAACTTATTGTTAATTTTTTTTTTTACAAAAAAAAATGAAATTATCTAGCATTTTTATAATTTTCTAAATGTTAAATGCAGTTATTTTTCATTATTAAATTTTATTTTTATTATTAATTGTACTGAATATTATTATAAATCAAATCAAATTTTATTAAATAAACTTTTTTATATATTTATTAAGTATTTTATACAATTTTGTTATCATTTTTCAATTTGCCATTTTCTTATTACTTGGCAGAAACAGTCAATTTCTTATACATTACTATACTAAAATAATTAAAAAGACAAGAAAAAGAGTCCTGTTTTGGAATATTTTAGGAGTAGAAATGGAAATGTTGACTCACATCCTTATGTAAATTTTATTTAAAGATTTTCAACAAGCTGTTTTTAAATAAATGCAAGCATATCTTGACAAGAAATGTCCAGAAGCACCAAATATATAATGCAAAGTTACAATCTAAGCATCAGAATGCCACATTAACAATTGAATAACTTCAATATAAAAAACTCTTGAGTCATTCATTACTATTCAATGCATTATCTTCAGCTGATATTCCCTTTCTTTTGTTGATAATCCACTAATCTATTTGTTATTATTCTTTAACTTTCAAATACCTTTGTCATTCATTCAAATTACCAATGAAATAGAAGAATAAAAATGCAAATAAATGGTAGCTTTCACTCAAAATCTTTATATCATCATGAATTATTTAAAGTAGTTAGTTGAATAGGGTGATCTTGATTTAATACATAATCTTGGATATTGTTTAAAAATGGAAAAATGAAATCAAAGCTTTGAATTATATAAAGAAGCAGCTGAAATTGGCAATTTTAAATCCTGGAAATTGCTATCAAAATGAAAAAGAATGAAATCAAAGCAGTTGAATAAAATAAAAAAGTGAGATTATATGATGAATAAAATATAATCATGGAGAATGTTATTATTAGAGATTATCGTAAGCTGATCATATGTTGCCAAACTCCTTAGTACCAGATATCATGTTATGTCTGGAGGGCAATGCGCATTGATATACAAGAAAATTAATTCCATTTGCACCAAAGATATTCAAGGAATTGGTATAGCTAAATAAAAAACAAATAATGTATTTAGGATTTTATTAATATTCAGGAGCTCGTAGTGATATACAATACGTTTCTTGTATATTTATCCATATGATGCTTCGCATTGTTAATTCTTTTATTTTTAATCTATTATCGATATCACATAAATTGATTGTTTATACAAATGAACAAGAGGAATCGCATTTCAATTTTTAATAGCTTAAATCAGCACTCCTTTTTCTGTCGTAGGCTGCTCCTTTACAGAAACTTCAAGATCGTAGCGATGGCTTAATGCGCAGTAACTGCGTTATAAATACATAGTGACCACATTATGTAATCGTAAAGAAATTACATATATGCAAGCCATCGCTACGATATTGAAGTTTCTGTAAAGTCGTTTTTGAATAATTCATAATACAGTAAAGGTCGTATAAGTTTTAATCTTATTTTGATGTATTTATATGTGATAAAAATAGCAGTGTATGATCACGTAGTTTACAGGATTAGTACTAGTGGTGCTTGATATAATGGTAAAAATAATCATTTTCTAGAAGTTTAATGTATTCTACCGCAGAATATATGGGTCGCATTCATTTCACCGACAATCATTTCACTGACAATTATCTTACCGACAGACGTTTCACCGACAGTGTCATTCGCAGACAAATGTTTTGCCGACAATCATCATTCTCACCAACAAGGGAATTTAGGATTAATGTTAGGTTAGGGTTAGGGTTAGTATTAGCCTATTAGGTTAGGGTAAGTGGATTAGGATTTCAAAACTGTCGGTGAAATGATTGTCGGTGAAATGGAGCCAGACCCGAATATATTATGCACAATAAGTAATGTGCATCATACTGTTAGGTCAGTTCTTTACGCTTAAAAATATTAAGCAAATAATTTAATTATGTAAGCAGAAGGTATATGTATTAACAGTAAATAAATAATAAACTGTATAACAAACATCTGATCAGACATGTACAGTAGTACAGCATCAGCATATATATTCAATCACTTTTATTACTTTAAATAAAACTTTATTATCTTTTCGTTATCTGAAAGAAACATTACTACAAAAATATCCTATATTTATAATAAAAATATTGCATATAATAAATATTTGCTATGTTTAATAAATTTAATATATAAATATATATATAGTTTAACAAATCTCATATATTTAATAAATATAATAAATGTAATTAAACATCAGGACCGTCACATGATGATCACATGACAATTCACTTTCTGATTTAATTTACATCTCCCGATTAACATCTATTATGAGTGAAGCGAAAATTGATTTATAAATACGGTATTATGGGTCTCTTAACGTATCAAAACAAAGAAATTACGTTTCAATCAGTTCAAGAACTCAAGACGTTTAATCTGTCTAAACTCTGTTTATTCTTAAAAATAGATATAAATATCGTCAGGATTTTTTTCATTACTTTAAAATTCTCGAGCAACAAATGGTTGAACTGTTGATGGCAAAAGCTTTATGTTATTTACTTGACAACATATTCATGTATATCTGAGAAAAAAATATTTATCATTATGTTAATTGTGTATGATTGAACTTTCCAATCATTAAGGAAACCATGAAGGTGCCAATAGATATCATTGGTATTATCGAATATCGAATGGTCCACGCCATTTGTTTTCTTCAAATGAGAATTGAAGTTCAAAATTAAGGTAAAAGCTTTTTTGATCATCAGGTATAGTAAAATGGAAGTCATAATGAGCAGATGAGTCTCCACTAGTGATAAAACATCTTTCGTAGCTATTACATTTAAATTCAGTATAGGCCGAAACTTGAGCCCATGTACTGTACCTCTGACCAATTTTGTTTTGGATCCATACTGTTTTACCTATATATATAATACATTATTCAGTATTTTGTACAACTTACTTCTAGACAGTAATAATAAAATAAATTTTTTTAAGTGAGATTATCAAGATGATGATTTCATCCAAAAAAGGAAAGTACAGGGGATGAAAATCCCGACAGTGCTAAATCGAAATCATTATTCCTGATACTCATTATTCCGGTACTCACTATTCAGACAATTATATTTTATTGATTTTTATTATTTTGAACTAATGTTTGTTTTTTACATATGTATGAAATGTTATCGGATAAAAAAATTTTTTTTAAAAAAAAATAAAAACCACGGCAAATTCGCAAAGTCATTCTAAGGCCGCTGGCTTCTTTTTCGTTTTACATCAATTTGGTTTGTGAAACTAACTAAAGTTATATTACATTTTTGTGTCTTGAGAAAAGTACTATGTGACTCTACAATATGTTAACCGACAATTATCTCATCGACAAACGATTCACCGACAGGGCTACATTGTGTGTGGCTTTGAATCTTTATATGTCCGATCCCTAACTCATTTTTTTTTGTGTATTATCAATATGATATCATTCAACATTTTTCTTACATGCTTTTAATCAAATGAATCCATAAATTAATTAGATTAATACTCATGATTAATTGCCCTTTACAATCAAATCGTTTTTCTATTTGAATTTTTAAAATAGAATAATCTTTTATTGAGTAATTTGCATTCCAAAATACAATAAAATTAATTAAAATTTATTTTAAAATTTTAATCCTTACTTATTTTTGCTGCGCCTTAGAGAAATTTGGTGTACTGTATAATTAATGTTTTTTTTAAAAAAAAAACAGTAAACGCATTTCTTTATTAACTGTAAAAGAACATATTACATGATAAAAGAAGAAATACATTGAAATTTGGCAAGCCACTCCTTCTCTGCTCTTCCTCTCACCACTTCACCTCAAGGGATTTAACGGGATTTTCGTGCAATGGTACGTCCATACCTACCGCAACCCTCTTGCCATCCTAGAGGCGTCATGATTACCAAATCTCTCCATACCGAAATCTTCGTATAATAGTGTATGAATTAATGTTATTTCGTTCTATTTTATTATCTTGTAGTGCCTGCCAATCTCCAGAATAAAAAAGTTTAGGCAATCGTTTTTTAGGAGAATTTCATTTTTTTTTTAGAGGAATCGAAAATGGTTAAATGAAATATTAATATTATACTGTACACAGGAATATGAATAAAAATTAAATTATTATAAAGCTGTTATTTTTTCAAACGATGATATCATTACTATTTTTATTTTCGCCATTTGTTTTCTCATCATCGAATAATTATTTAAACTATCTGGTAATTTAAAAATAGTAACACGGATAGGTATAAATTGGTTGATTATTTTGATTATTGAGAATATGCGGTACAACAATTAGTGGTACCCCTATAAAAAATTTTATCCGTTATTTCAGCCTTTCACGGATCCATTCACGAAAATGTAAATAATTCGATAAATTCCGGGATATAAGGTTATTAATTCCGGAAATATGAGCCCTTTACGGAAAAGAGACGGAATATAAAAAACGGATCGATTTTTTTTGCAGGGTACCGGTGGTGTTGAATTCGAAAGAAGTTCGAGACGTAAATTTGATGAATTCAAGAGGAATCCCAGATTTTAAAGCTCTAGGTAAACTAATTCAGGATGACAATTTAAAATTATATATTGGTCTTTAATAGCTAATAAAGGTTTATAATATCTATAGTGTATGAAAATACATCAATGATTCGCAAAAAAATGTGACGTTGTACAGTAGATTAACTACGCCCTATGTTGTCACGTTTCTTATTTAAATTACCATAAATGAAAGGCCGATTATATTTTCTATTTTATGATCGTCACACATAAGCTACAATAGCTATTTAAATAGGTATTTTTTACGTAATTCGAACATGTGATATAGATTTAACTTTTTTTAAATAATTATTTAAAATAAATTGAACTACCATATATAGTATACCATGTCAAAATATGTAAAACAAAAAAATGGTTGTTTAAAAGTAATATTTTACTCGATTTGATTATTTTAAGCATAAATATTATTAGATTATTTACAGTTTAGCTTAAACTATGGCGTACTTTTTTAAATAATAAACAATCCGAAAAATAAATGTGTTGCTTGATTATGTTTGATGTAATAACAAAAGAGGAAATAAATTACCATATAATATTTTAATCAAAAACAACAAATGGCTATTTAAAAACCAATCAATACCAACATTCATTTATAATGGCGTATCGGAGTAACAAATCCATTGAACTAAAAATAGAAGACTAAAAAAGATTCATAAAGTATAAAAGAGTATTGTTTACTCCGTTTTTGTTAAAAGTAAAATCATTTTTGAATATGGAAGGATTTCTAGTAAGGGAACTCAAAAATTTCGAATATACGATTCTTGATTCTCTCAAAGATCAAGAGTCTTCCATTATAAAACGTGCAAGAAGACAAGAAACACAAAGAGCGATCGTAGATACTACAGCTCTTGTTAATGAATCTGATGAATCTGGGGAAACCGTTTGGCATAATTGGGCAGGAAATATTTCGTTTAAACCAGATAAAATATTTTACCCAAAGAGCGTTGAAGATTTAAAAAGTTATGTAAAGAGTGCACAAAAGAATGGAAAGAAAATTCGATGTGCTGCTGAAGGTCATAGTTGGAGTTCGCTTTCAATGACAAATGATTATTTAGTGATTTTAAACAATATGGATAAAATTGATATTGAAAAGAGAGATGATGGATATGTGGTTCATGCTGAAGCTGGTAAGTTGTAAATAAATGTACCTTTACGGTTATTTTGATACCGTCACTTATAACGAACGTGAAATAAGCCAGATTGATTTATACTAATGCTAATTTTATAATCCAGGAGCTCAAATCTCGCAAATCGATAAAGCACTCGAGAGGAATAATCCACCATTGACGATCACTTCTATGACCGTCCTTGATAATGTAAGGATTGGAGGTGTTGTCGCAACTGGAAGTCATGGTGCTAAATTTGAAGCGAGAACAATCGTTGATCAAGTTGTTGGTTTACAAATCGTGACTGGCGATGGTGAATTACATGAATTTTCAGATGAAAAGAACCGTGATGAAATGGAGGCTGCACGTGTCAGTTTAGGTAAGCCAATGTTTCATGTGGTTCGCTTACATTTAATTTGCAGGCGTAAGCTCAATAGAAATTAATACTTTCTACATTATCTATCGTAGGTTTATTAGGTATCATGTCTAGGGTAACCTTACGTGTTGAACCAATGTACGATCTTCGAATGACTGACACTTATCCGCTTAAGTCTAAGTTTGATTCAGCCGCTATCAGAGATCTTGTGAAAAATTCGGATGGAATTGAAATTTTCTATTGGCCATTTAATACACTAACAAAAGATCATTTAATATCAAAAGAAACGGAAAGACTATGGATTAAACGATGGACAAAGTCTACTGATCCTGTCACTTTAAATGAACTCCAGCAACTTTTCCTTCGTATCGCTCAAGACGCATCTACCAAAATAGCTCATCACTTTTATCAGGAAATTCTAAATTCCCCGGAAAAGACTCCATTAATCGCCAACTTAGCTGGAAAAGTAAAGTTGGTAGAACATAATGACGTATGGAGTGCACCTGATGCAATACATTATCAGGCAGGAATTGATAATTTACCTTGCGAGGATTTGGAATTTGCAATTAAAGCCGATAAAGACTTTGAAAATGTCATAACGGAAATTGATTACATTTTTAATAGAGTATGTGTTTTTAATTTCTTTGAGGCTTGTACAATGTTATATTTTAAATTTATCCTCAATCTCGAATTATCAATAGATTTTTGAATACGCGAAGAAGGGACAATATCCTCTTAATTTAGTCGTTGAAATACGTATCACCAAAAGCTCGAGCGCTATCTTGTCAGACGCATACGATAAAGATCCTGATGCCTACTATTTCTTTATCGAAGTCTTATCTATAAAAGATACACCATTATTTAAGGAATTTTCGATCGAACTTGCTCAAAGATGGATGCAAAAATATAATGCGAGGTAAAAGAAATTAATATATGAACTCTATGATTATTTTGCACTTGAATCTAATTTTATTTGCTTTTGATGATCATACTAGACCGCATTGGGCTAAATCTTGGGAATATGTGCCGAATATTACTCAATATCTACATGAACAGTTGGGCGAACGTGCCAAAAAATTTGAGGCTGTCCGTGCAAAGTATGATCCAAATGGCATTTTTTTCGATAACGAATCGTTGAAACAAGTGATCTATGGAACCAAATAATAAATGTTTAAATGCCTAGCAGATATGACCGATTTTCATGAATAAAATTTTTAATCAAAAAGATAGCAATATAATGTTAATATGTTTAATATTTTTTTTTGTAAGTATGTAAAATAGCTTAACTTTTAATTATTTACTACTTTATTTCATTTAATTGCCGATCCGTCTAAGAACGGCACTATCGTATATGTAAAATACATATCTGATGCGCGTTACAATGTAAAGTCATTTTTTCTATAGTAATGTTATAATTATTTTAACATATTATTTTTCCTTGAGTTTTTTTTTACATATATCATATGATTTTTATTAAAAAATATTGAGTTATCGCAGTTTTAGTATTTGTGAATTTATTACCAACTATACAATTTTCGTTAAATTTCGCCCCCGAACAAATAATGCTAAAAAAGTAAAAATTGTGCTAATCTTAAACGAATTGACAATTAAATAATTAATAAATATTTTTTTTTAGTAATTTGGAGTTGGTTAATTATCATTATAAGCCATTTGTTGATATTTAAATATAATAATATAATAAAAAAGTTATCAAAATTCGCATGTAAAAGCGGAATCTGACGCGCGTGAAATGTGGTGTTGTTTAAAGATATAATATTTTAGCATATTATTTTTCCTTGGGTCTTTTTACATATATCATACGATTTTTTTATATATAATGAGTCATTCCCTTCTCTAGTATTATGTAGTTTTCTCACAATTGTGCGATTTTTGCTTAAATTTAACCGTTAATTAACATATGAAAACGACTTTTATGCTAGATAATTCTTTCCACAGATCCACAGATCTTCTGCGAAAAATCACGTGATATAACACTTTGCGAAATATGTTTACTTTTGTCATATTGAAATTATATGCGATATTATAAATCTTATAATTTTAAGAAAATATTAAAATGTAATGAAAGATGAGAATTCTATAATTAATTCAATATAAATAAAAATATAGTTACTTTTAATAAATAAACAATAATAGTTAGTTATGAACTTATGATCCCATATAAATCATATATATATATCATAATTTATCCATAAAATGATTAAATATTAATTATCTATTAATCGAACTCAGAAATTTGTAATTCATCTTGTTCTTCTGAATGAAGATTTGCATCATCATACGCATCTTCATCATCTATAAAGAGATAAATTTTATTATTAATTTTATAATATAAAAAATTGTATGTAATTTATTTTACATACCATTAATTTTAATATTTATCTTTTTTATTTGTTGCATAGTTTCTCTTTCAGAATCAATTTGGATATCTAAAAATATATTCATATTTAATTAAATTAAATACTTTTTTTTTATTAATAAAATCATATTTATTGTTATTACTTACCATTATTTGAATTGTTTGCATTATTCAAATTTAATTCTTTGTATAATTCAATAATTTTATCTAAATTTATCAAGAAATTAACTTAATTATTATTATATTGAAAATATAAATTAAGATTAATATTATTTCTGTTACCTGAATTATTGAAATCATCGACTAAGATAATAATAATAAAGTAATTAATAACATTTTATTTAATAATTTAAAAATATTTTTAAATGAAATGCTTACTATTCTCAGGAATATTAAAACTGTATCTACTATGAAATTCTTTCAACAACAATATAAGATTAAAAAATAATATTTTGGTTTTTACATCGAATTCGAATTGAGCATATGTAAATAAATACCTTTTTGTTCCTCTAATTTTTATAAATTTTAATTGAAAAATAAAATTATAAATTTTAGATAAAATAATGATATCAATATTGTATATATGAATGTTATTCATACCTTCTGCTGCGTTCCTCGGTTCCGGAAAATTTTTAAATTCATAAACTTGACTTGTATATATTTTGTTGCTATCAGTATTAGGTTTAATAATATTGTCTTTGACAATATTCTTTGTTTCGTTATGATAATAAGACTTTTTTATGTAATCTATTTTATTCTTTAAAATTTTAATGTCAGGTCTTTCTTTTGGATAAGCATTCCAACATTGTTCCATTAATTCCTTATATTCTAAAGGAATTTCTGATACTATCATTGGTCTCATACCATCAACAATATTCATTGCAAGATTATAATCATAATCTAAATTGGTAAAAGGAGGTTGTCCGGATGAAATCTCCCACATGAGCATGCCAATACCGTAAATATCTGATGCATAAGAATATTCTTTACCAATAATAACTTCGGGTGCTATATATGGAAGGTTTCCGTATACGGCCCCTAATGGTTTATTAACAGGACCACAAAATCCAAGATCGCTAATGTACCAATAATCATTATTTTGTGAATATAATATATTTCCTGAATGCAAATCTCTATGAATCGATTCCTCCTTATGAACATAATAAAGTGCAACAATTATATCATAAGCTATTTTAATTTTATCATTCCATGTAAGTTTGTTATAATTTTGTTTTAAATAATTTCTTAAATTTGTATCTAATTGTTCCATTACAAGCATATAATCACCTTTTGAGGGTTCTCGAGTTAAACCAAAACAATGAACAATGCTACTCCATTTGTTGCTTATTGTTAAATGTGATACGACCTATTAAATTATTAAAATTATTAAGAATTGTTTTTTTTTAAAAAAGAAAATTATTATCTTACATATTTAAATTTTTATGTATTTTGTCCAGTACCTCATCATACCAACTTTTATTGGTATCTTCAATATTGTCCAACCTTTTAAGTACTACTTTATGTGTACGATCTCTCTTTAATAATTGTTGTTCAGAATCCCATTCTATATATTTTCCGCCAATCCAATCTGCTATATAAATTTCAGAATATCCACCTCTTGTTAAATATTTAATATTTTGCAAATTATTATATGGGATCCATTCAGTTACATATTCTGGGCTAACTATTTCCATTTGACATTTCTGTATTATTTTATCAATAATATCATTTTCGGATGTCCAATTTAAAAAATTTGATTTCAAATAATTTCTTATACATTGTTCACAATATGATGTAGCTAAACATTCTAGATGACAATTTTCGCAAATTCTTTTTGGTCCTACATTATAAATAATTTTATCAAAATCATATTCTTTAATTAATATTGTAATTGCATATGATTTTTCTTCTTCATTAAGAGATTTGTCAGCAAGAATGGTATTTTGTCTAAATTCATGCATTTTTGTTAAATCATGATAAATATTAATATCTGATAAAGCATCTGCTTCTTTCAATGCAGTATAAACTAATTCTTTACGAATAGAAGACATGATGAAAATTAATCGTTAATGAAAAAGGCTTTTTTTTAAGTTTTTAACATGCCTTTATATACATTATTAATCAACACCGAAAATTCCGGTATTATACAGCTTGTACACTAATTTTAATTAATATTGCCGATCGGGCTGGGTTATGTTTACGAAATTGTAATACAAATAAATGATTTAATAATCTTGCGCCAAATAAGGTTAGTAATAGAATCTTTGTTCTAAATGTCTTCTATGGAATTAATTACCAGTTGGCTAAATTAAATTCCTTTAGTCGGGGGCTGCGCGGCTGATATATAATAATTTTTACATTTATTATCTTATATTTAAATAAATTAAATTAAATTAAAAAAGTAAAATGAAATTTAATAAATAATGATTTTGCTGAACATCATAATCAATATTTGGATCGAACTTTTATCTGTAACCAAATTTCTTGCTGTGTAAGTCATAAATCATTTAAATTCATTAATTCATTTTCTGGTAATTGAAAATTGGCTTCACTTCCAGAAGTTAATTACAAGTTTTGTTCAATTTGTAATTTAAGACGTCAAATTCGAAATTTTATGATTCCTTATCTATAATACGAATGATAATCTTTATCAGAAATTTTCGCGTTGATCAAAAATCATATGCATAGCGTTCTTGTTTTTAATTCTGGCCAAATTTATAATTCCAGCCAGAATTAGTGCAGTCGTGATCAGTGATCAGTGATCGTATCTAAAGAATCGTATTCCAATTTCCAAACCAATATAAGTATTTATTAAGAGCATGTTACAAAAAGCCAATCAGAATTCCTACTCAGAATTGTACTGCATAATATAAAGGTAATGCAGTATAACCAAAGTAAAATTCATATTTAAATCGTAATTTTATTTATTGCGTTTTCAAATTGATGTCGATCATGTAAGGTGGTGGCAAAAAAAAGTTTCAAAAAACCCAAGAAAAAACACATGTAATGTATGTAACGTAACACAGAATCATAGAACATACTGTGCTAAAACGAGTAAAACCTTAAAAAGGTTGAAATTTATTGATTAGTAATCACGTGATATTTGCCGATTTTTGATCAGATTTTTAGCAAAAAAAAAAAAAATAAAGTGTGTTCTATGATTTTGTATTATTTTACAATTACATATATTTTTTCTCGTGTGTTTTTGAATTTTTTTTTTGTGTTTTGTCGCCACCTTACATAATTGACATCGATTTCAACATTTTGAAAAATGGCAATAAGTTGAACATAATAAATAAAAAAACACATAAAAGTTTCACCTGCCTTACTGACTAATAGCAATATACTTTGTTTATCTTCTCTTAAAAGTTTGCTACCTTATATTATTTTATTAGATAATCACAAAATATCTCTGCTAAAATATGTTAATTACAGTTTACAATTATTATATTGTAATAATTGATATTCTTAAAAAAATTTCTAAAACCAAAATAAATTATGCAATAAACTATTACTCTAATGAGCTAACTATTAAGTATTATAAATAATTTCACATGTTAATTTTTTATTAATAGCTTTGCTAATTATCAATCAGATGGTAAGGGATTATCATTACGTACTTATGATGACATTTAAAATTTTAATATAAAAGCTTCCTTTCTTTATTGAAACAAAAAAAAAATTATTTTATTATTAAAAAAAAGAGTAAATCAGAAATCATTCCTACAGGTAAACTATTTACTTTGCAAAAATGTTGTTTATAACTACAGATATAATCTGATGAAGTTTCTTTAAATAATTTCTATTACAGGCAAACCTTTATATAACGATATGTCGGGACATATATGAAATTTTTAGAAAATATCGTTATATCAAAGATATACCGATATTTATATGTCCTTACATATAGTGGGAAAATAAAAATTTATCGGTATATCAAGTTTTTAATAGTATATCGGTATATCGAATATCGGTATATCGAGGTTAGACTGTAATTTTAGAAGAGAAATCAGTTATATTTCTAAAGAAACTAAAGTTTGCTTATATATTATTGTTAATTACAAAATAAAAATATTACTGAAAAATATAAGAGTATTATATTTCAGATGTTACATCAGATGTTGAAGAATCCATTTATCAAATGAAATTTCAATCTGAGAGAATTCTAGACATGTTTCTCATAGAACTTTTTATATAATAAGAATTTGACTTAGTTATTTTCAATTTCTTAAAAATGTCTTATCACTGCATCTACTCATTTACCTGCTATTTACACTACTATGGATTTAGTGAAATCCTTTAGGATCAATCAGCATGGTGCATGGTGTTCTCTTTCCACACAATAACCTTTATTATTTCTGGGTCAATTATGTTCAAATCTTATTAATACTGCTTTCAATGAAATTCCTCCTATTGACAAATGTTATCCCATCCTCAATCTGAAAATCTTATAATATTTACCATTATACCAGAGATCTACAACCATAAAACATAACTGATAACGATTATGTAGGATAACGGCGCAGACAAGTTATGAAACGCGCTTCCGAAAATTCTATTAGTATACCCATAAAAATTATAATTTAAGAAAAATGCAAAAATGTGTAAACTATAATGAGGACGAAATGACTAAAAATGCAAGATATACTTTTAAAAATAACTTTTAGATTTTAGCTATGTATACTTATATCTTTACATTCTTTTTATTTTTTTATTCATATATACCAATATTATTGATATTTACTTCAATAAAATTTGCATGTACTACACTCTTTTATCTCCTAGTATTACTAAAGTATCACTCTATAGTGAAATAAACATAATGATAAGAATATGTTCTAATATTGATTATACAGAAACTTTGTGATTAATAACATTTTATTTAGTTATATGAATATACATATGATATAATTTGTTCTTATAAAACTTTTCAAAATTCTGATAATAGAAGTTGGAATTAAAAAAAACATCAGACTCATTATTAATCAGTGATGGTAAATGACCCAGGTCATTTGGCTATTTTAAAATAATGCCTGAGTGTGACCTAGTCATTCATCATTTGAGTCTGTATAATGGTGCCGGCCAGAATTATGAGAGTGCATGATGTAATTTTTAAATGAAAATTCATTTGTCATTTAACCCTACTACCCCAACGGCACCCAGAAAATTCTTCGGCGTTATGCACTGACACGTGATCGAAGAATTTAGGATGTAATGAATAAAACGTAACAAATAGAATTTCATCTACTTGAAAAAATCAAAGTCCCTCAGATAAATATAAACAGTGAAACTCGGACAGGGGTGTGACTATGTGATAAATAAGACAGATCACGTGATCGAAGAATTTTTCTGGGTTATATGAAAAATGGCACATGACTAATGTCCAAAATCATTTGATGTTATTATTTAGATCATTGGACTCACAATTACAAGAAAAATTTTATAAATTTGTTGAAGTTGTCCAAATAATATCAATGTTATTAGAATAATCATAATCAAAGAGAGCGAGATATATTATGATATTTGGGCTATAGGTGCCGTCGGAATTGCCGAATTGAATTTACGGCGTTACGAAATATGGATTTTACCATTTAAATATCTAACAAATCATCAAGATCAGCATTATAGATTTACGGATTACAAATTATCTTCGGCATAATAAAAAAAAAATATTTACTTTCTTTGTGTAATTTTTGTATATTTAGCATTAAATAATTACGGCATTACGACGATTTAATATATTACGGTATAAACTTCCGTAATTAATTCCGACGGTAAGTATAATTTGGGCGTGAGCCTATTATTCCATTTGTTTCTTCATCTGTTATTGTATTGTAGTAGATATAATCTCTAGAAATAATTAAATTTCTTACATCTGGTCCGTGCAATGGTTTCAAGTTTTTGTACTTTAAATACGTTTCTGCCATGGATATATTATTTTGATATGTTCCCCAATAATTGTTTTCAATGAAATACCGAAATCGGTTAACAAATAGATCGGGAGGATTCTCGTCAACCGATAAAAAATTTAGGATCAGCACTATCAGCTAAATTGTTGGTGGTCAATAATAACCAAAAATTTGGTATCATTCCGAAGCATCATACGTGACTCCAAACTGTGGGCGAAACTTCATTAATAATATTTGTGTGTAAGAATACAATAGTAAAAAGCTATATCACAGCTAATTGTATGACTCGTGGCGCATCGAAGTCAGAGGACAGAGAATCAGTTAGACAAAAAATTTACATAAGAAAAAATTTCAGCCGCTTATTCACATTGTTCATGGACCACCTTTTCGCAAAGTTACGAGAAAAATTATCTGACCTGCGGCTATAATTATATGAGCGGACGAGCGTATCACACATATCACAAGGGCACAGTGAATTTATTATTCAAAAGGTGCCTATGACACGGTTTCATGTAAGAGAGATAAAATATTTTATTAATCAAGTAAACTAAAACATTAATTATTCTGAATAACAATACTTTAATAATGATAAAAGATATTCTGCAAAATTTTATGCTAAATGGATAATAAAACGAATAATAGATAGCGGAATTAAATGCCGGAACGATCAAGTAAATCATCAGAAGTGTATACCTTGTCTTTGATGGCTTCTTTGACAGGTTCCACAACTTTCTCATTAATCACTCCACCAAAACCTTTGGGAGGACTAAAGAAAAAGAATTTGATAAGTTTAAAGAAATTATTAAAAATTTGTCAAGTAAACTTACTTAATATCATCACTTTGTCTTGGTGATGGAGCACGAGGTGGAGACGGAGTTCGAACTCGCTGAGGACTAGGAAGACTTGGTTTTGGAGGCATTGCTTCGTGAGAGAGTGAGAGTAAGAAAAAGTAAGAACGAGATTGGTTTTTAGATCGTACAAATAATATTTGTTTAAATGTTACTGGTTCTTCAAGGAGATGTAATTTTTTTTTTTTTTAACTCTTGATCTATGAGTGTTTATATATTAAAACCAAACTGATGATTTCCATGGCATCCTGATACGACCATCTATAGATAAGAAAAATAAGTACACATCTACACATCTCAAGAGTTAAGCAGAGTTTACAATCAGTTTATTCTTATGTCGCAACCAAAAATAGGTTATCAATGGCATCTATTTTCTATTCAATTTTTATATTAGGCGTTTTACGTAATTATTTATTTCTTGTCGTATCACAATTTCCATTCACCGTGTTCTTTTTTGCGCGTTGTTAATAGTAATATAATAAAAATTTTTCGATTCTACACGCGCATGTTTACCTTATGTATTGTTATATTCTTTTTAAGACATCTGCTATACTTTTATCTGGAAACTTAAGAATTTAACTCCAAGAAAAATAATTAGTAAATAAAGCAATATATATGAACAAAACGATGAAATCAATCAGCATATAACAATTTTCATTACAGTAATCCGTGCGAACCAAAGTAATTCAAAAATCGGTTAATCGATTAAATGGCTTATTAATAAGGTAAATACCATAAATATCTTAATTGAATACTTGAAACATTTTTTTTTTTCAAATTAAGATAATAATTCTTTATCAATCTTAATCTTTTTTATATTTATTATATATTTAACCGATTTTACATTATTTATAAAGAATGTAAATAAAGTTTGTTAAATGATTATATAAATAAAGCTAAAACTAAATTTTTTCAAGGTGCACAAATTAAATATTGCAGATTGCATTAAATATTTAAATGCGAGAAACAAAATAAGCTTTTAAACGCGTTAAACGCATATTAACCGGGTATTATCCGGTTATTGTGTATTTTGAATAAATATAATAACTTTGGCAAAAAAAAAATTACCATAGTAAACTCGGTAGAGGTCAAATAAATCAAAATAAAATAAGATTCATACGGCCAGTGCTCCGAATCTAATAAATTAATTTTTAGTTTATCCCGGTATGTGATTCTGTGTTCTCATATCAGTTAAAGGTTTTTTATTGGCCAGACTGTATTATATACTACGGTCAGTGGTGTAGTAGCATAAAACAGAAAAAAATATCAGGTGTTCCGTTATTTTTTTTTCGTTTTTCGTTTTTGTGTTTGCAAAAAAAATCGCGGTAAAATTGATAATAGGCAAATTATACTAACAAGCACTTGACACGATATATCATGTGAAAGGGATAAAAATCGTTTATTGCTCGGGAAAAAACAAAAAATTATTATAATAATACTTTATTGATGATATAATACTTCACATTCTTTTATAAGTTAAATGAATAAAAAAAAAACGAATAGTAAGTAGTGGAATTAAATGCCAGAACGATCAAATAAATATTCATTGTAATCCTTGTTTTTGGTGGCTCCTTTGACGGCTTCTGTGGCAGGTTTCGCAACTTTCTCCTTAACCACTCTACCTAAGCCTCTGGGATATCTAAAGAAAAAAGTAATGCTAAGTTTAAAGAAATTATTGAAAATCGTCGAGTAAAACTTAGCTTACTTACTTAATATTATTACTCGAATTGCTCGAATTGCTCGAATTACTCGAATTACTCGAATTGCTCGACTTACTCGACTTACTCGACTTACTCGACGATGCTGGTTTTCGAGATGGAGATGGAGTTCGAGGTCGAGGAATTCTAGCAAGATTAGCAAGATTTATTTTTGGAGGCATTGCTTCGTGAGAATAGATAACTTTTTTTTTGCAATTTCATGAACGAGATTGGTTTTTTTTAGTTCGTACAAGTAAATACCGGTTGACACTTCAAGGAGAAGTGAATTATAGTATTTATATATAAAATCAAACTGATGAATCCCATGGCATCTTGATACGCTCGTTCATTTATAGATTAAAAATAAAGTTTTTCTTACATCATAACCGAAAATAGGATATCAAATGATACCTATGTTCTATTCAAACTTTATACTGTAATTATTTTTAAGGAATTTAATAATTTTAATTATATAATTATATTGATTATGATCAATGATTGGTTAATTTGATCGATCATCGATTATAAAGATTTAGGAACCAATTAATTAAAATACACAATCAACTTCTAATTTACTTTTAATCGATCGATTAATATTTATATTGATCGGTCAGATTATGTACTGTATCTGCAATTTTTGGAAATTAAATGAATTCCTATATTGAATATTTTCTTTTATTGTAAATTGTGTGCAGGTGATTTCATATTACTACAATGAGTTTCAAGTACTGAAAAAAACAAGTTTTGTTTCAAAATTTTCAAACGTCGTTTTTATTGCAGATATAAAGATAACAATTGAGTGTTGATATAGTTGTATCAAACAAGTGGTATTATATATTATTAATGAAACTCTAAAAAAAAAAATATGAAAAGAAATCTGGAGTACGTAATAATAGTCTCCTATATACATTCCATTTAAGTCATCAAAGTTTTATCTTCTGCAAATTCTAAAAGGTTTTCATTTATATCATCAACTGGCAGCAAATAATAAAACTAAAAATGAATATACATTTTAGAAATGATATTAAATGAACGTCTTTTTCCAGATGTTGGAAATAGTATGACAAATAACAGACACGTCTTAACTCAAAATTTTTTCGGGAAATTCTTTTATAGATATATTAAATGGCTTGCTAATAACTGATAACTGATAAAGTAAAAAAGTATTTGTAATAATTTTTATTTTAAAGAAAAACAAATTTTATCAATCTTCATTTTTTATATTTAAACCGATTTTATATAAATAAATAATTCAAAGTTTTTTAAGATTGCGACAGATTATTAAATTAAATATTCAATAGGAACCCAAACGCATTAACCCTGTTATGGATTTTTGTGCACACCTGACGATTTTGAATGAATATAATAATTTTGGAAAAAATTTTTTTTTTTATAATATTCATTCTTTTTTTGGTCTGATTGGTTAAAAGTCACGAGCCTGATGTAGAGCAGATTTTACGTGCGTAAGAAATACTAATTTTTCTGGTGTCACAGTAGCGCAGTAGAATTAGACGTAGTAACCCACCAGAAAAATATTGCATCGATGAAATTTATGAAGACGATTGGCACAAAAATAGCATTTCGCCTATGCTATAATTGCGAACTTGAATTTATTACTTGAACTGATACATCTAAGATAATATTCTAATTTATCTTGGGGTAATTACTTCGCTAATCCAAAATCATACGGGCATTAATCAATTGAATCATATGCTGTATTACATAATTACTATGATTACCATGATACCAAGCATGCCATTTTCTCAGTATATCTATAATTATCAATTCCAACTCAGATTTAATAATTAACAGAGTGATCGAGACGGCGAGACGCTTTAAAGTAACATGACCCCGATCGTGAATTTTGGGCTTACGCTATAAGTGACCAACTTAATTCTATCGATTACGAATAGCATAAGAATTTTTTTCCTCGTTATATATTAATAGGAAATAGACCAATTCGCATAGAGTTCGGAAAAAAATCTGATATGAATACTGTACAGTACATTAACATGCAATAAATTTAATGTGCTGAATAGTTTATTCGTAATTTCCATTTTTCAACTTTACCACGTTGTATAAATAAATTTTTAAATTAATATATAAATTATAAAAGTATAACAAATTCTTTTAATAAAATATTATTATTACAATATATATTAACAGATAGATCATTAAAATAAATATTAAATTATCTAATCCTCTCAATTAAATTTTAATTCTAAGTTTAATAGTTAATTAATTATAATTGTATACCAAGTTTATCCAATACCAATTTCTTTCTTTTATCAAATTCATTTATCGTAACCCAAGATGAAGTAGAATCTTTTGTATCCCTCCTTTGACGAACCTTTATGCCATCCCCATTTTCCGAGGTTGAAGAATACATTTGTTGATGAGCTGAAATGAATCTTTCATCAACTAATTCACTATGATAAACCAATTCATCTTTATATTCATCTTCCTCTTCTATATACTCTTCTTCCTCAAAAGGTGGTTCTTCTAATATCATTTTTCTTGATAATAATAAACGAGATTGGCGAAGCAGATGGAGCGTTTTAATATCTCTGATAATTTCTAAAAAAAAAATAAAAGGAAGGTTAAAACAAATAAATTGTATATTTTAATTAATCCAATTAGCTTAAATTACCATTGGAAATTTCTGGCCGGGTTGAATTTTTCTTTGAGGGATCAGTGGACATTGCCGGTAGTGGACTTGATAGTGGAGGTGGAAATAACAATTTTGCATTCATTATAATCTCTCCGACGTATTTATCCCCTCCAACTAAAATAAACCAAAATTTTTAAACAGATTTAGTAAAAATTAAGTTTGTTCAACAAAAGATTTAATAAAAAATAATCATACACATTGATTCATTGACTGCTTTTTCAAATTCTTCTAATTGAAATTCACAATCGTTTAAGAAATAAGTTTTCACCCTTTCTTGTAATTCTTTTTCAGTTTTCTAAATTAAAATAATTATAAATATAAATATAAATCTTTCTTAAAAAAAAAATGGATTCTAAATATAACAAGATGTTACAACATACATTCATCATATCTGTCTGCTCAAACGTTAAACATTCACCTGTACCATTATAATACAAAAGTTCAAGTAATACTTCTGCGGCCATCTATTACATTAACTCGAGTTAATTGAATTCTTAATATATATATATACACACAAAAAATTTAAACTTCCATACCTGAAGTGTTATTGGTCTACATAAACGATAATACACGCATAAAAGCGTCAAAATATTTTGAACCAGCACTGCGCGATAACTTTTTACCTGAGGTTGGACTTCAGTTATTTTTATAGAAGGAATTGAATATGGAATTTCGTCCATATCATCAGCAAATGATCCATGATCTGCTCTAGAACTTATTGGTGAATGTAAAGATTCATCATCGAAATCATCCATAAATATTGGTTTGCTTTGTGAAGAGGAGGTTGCTGATGATGCTATTGATGATGTATCAAATGAATATCCTTGCCTTGAAGAAAAGTGGTGGCTATTTTGCAAATCCTCAAAACTAGATGCTACCGAGTTCTAAAGAAATAAATAATATTTTATTAACTATATACTGTATATACATATCATATTCATAAAACAACTTCGATGTAGTGCATAATGGCTTACCATAAGTCGACGTGTTCTTAATAATTTTTGAGGATATACTTCTGCGGCCAAAAGTATATCTGGTGCAATCGCATGATTTCGACATGACATATATATTAAACAAAGAGCTGGTAGAGTGTTCATATCGAAATAATCATGGTCTGAATCTTCAGGAATTTCAGGAATCAAGAACCCCATTATGGCCTCTCTATAGAGATTCCTCTTCTTGAATAACGTTGATGGATTTGCATATGAATTGTCGAGTCTAGGAGATTGAGGATAATCCATTAACTCTGGAGAATTAGAAAAAAGCATAGCGACCACCGCTGTGACTAAAGGTGGATGACGAAATATGTGAAGCACGTGACATAAAAGTGCAAGCGCTACAACTGAACTTGTACGCATTGTCTATAATGGATTTAAAATTAATCTTATCGTGATGCCTCACAATAGGTAAAGATTTATAAAAAGTGAGTAAATACCTGTTTGTACGGTAGCAATTCCCTTTTCACCAAACTATCGGCATAAATTGGTTTTAATAAAAGATCCATTAAATGTGATGTTAATTCTTGATTCATCCTTTCATTTTCCAGATTTATGATATCATTAATATAATAAAAATTGTCACAATGCTCGACAAGATAATAATTAAATGTTTGATATCGCTTATAGTAACTAATAAAAAAAAAGTATGTGAATGTCTTGGATAAAATAAGAATAAGATGATCACTAACATAAGATTTAAAATCTTACTCTGGTTTATCACTTATTTCGTCTAATATTCTTGAGAAGTCAGAAATAAAATTAACTAAATTCGAAAAATATGGTGATGCATTCCTATCCAAAACAAATTCTTGCATTTGCGCATCATTAACTAAACCACAAAATTCAAGACAATGTAAGTCACGTGATGTTGCCAAATAAACGCGTCTTAATGCTCTTAAATACATACCGGCAAATATATTTAATGTCACAGTTCGAACAGAAGCACGAATCATACTCTCATCCGACTTAAAAAATTTGATTGCTTCAGAATAACTAAATAATATAATTTGTATGTCGTTTAACAGATAATTGAGGAAAGAATCACGTTCGAATCGTTCCCAGCTCAGATGCTATAGATTATTTTTAAACTTACAGAGGAAAATCATCATGTCTCTATTTAATAAAATAGAAATAAAAATAAATTAATAAACTTTCTCTTTTATATATTAAATTTTATTATTTTTCATAACATACCTCATTAAAAAAGAAAAATAATGTGTTTGAATCCAACTTAAGAGATAACGTTCGTAAAAATATAATATAATATGCCAAAATTTCATCATTTGAAAAATCAAACTCATGACATATTATTTCATTAACATAATTGTTTGATAATAAGAAATCTAAATTAAAATAAAGAGTATGAACACACTTGTTTTTTTTTACGAAATTTTGAAAAAAAAAGAACAAAAAATTTACATAATGATTTAAAATCATGTATGTTTCGAATGGTTTGCTTACATAATGATGTAAGATCATGTATGTTTTCGAATAAAATATTCATGGTTTGCAATATTTGTTTTGTTATATGCAGACTTTTAGTTTGTTTCAATAAGGTTAAGATTATATCATGGATATTGTTTTCAAAAAAATATCTAAAAAATATTCAACAGATAAATCATTAGATGAACTTTTTTTAAATTAAATTTTAAAAATAAGAAAATTCACGTACTCAAGTATAACCGGTTTGTGTTGATCACCTATATGTTTAAGAAAGAATTTTTATTTAAGATAAAAAATTAAAAAATATAGCTAACATTCTATTACATACCCCAAACCAAAACCTGTGTCATTTCCTTTAATACATCAACTATACTATCATCGCTCCCATTTTTGGACTGCTTTCTAAGAAGATCACTTAGACGTCTAATCAAAAAAAAAATTGGAAATACATTAAATTAGACAAATAAAATGAATGATCATATCACCACTCGTTCTAACATTACATAAACGATCTTTCCCTTTCTGTGAAGGAACATTGTAAAGTTACCTTATATTTTCTGGGGAATACTTTTCAATTTTGGGAGCTTTCCCAAATATTTCATTCCAAAACCCAAACATTTTGTTATTTTCACTTTGAGTTGTTTGTATTGGAGTAACAGGGGATTGTGGTTTACTATTTTCACCAGCGGACCCAAAATAAGCACCAATGCTCAAGGAAGGTAACCAATTTAAATATGTAGTCATTGCTATATATATACACAAAAATATTTACAACTGTTCTCCGTTGATAGACAGGAATAAAACTGGCTAGCTTTAGAATATTATACTTTAAACTTAGAGAACAAGGATAATATAAATACATATTTATATAAAAACGGTTCATTTATTGATTATTTTTATTGTTTTTTTTTTGATAATTCGCTTACCATAAAAGTAAAAGATTTGCAAGGTTGTGCTGCATTTGTTCGGTTGTTCGGAATCAGAAATTCGTTTTTATTAGGCTTAGAAGGCTTACATCACCGGCTGTGCGATCATGCAGTGTTGAATTTAAGATTTAGACTATTTACTACCCACAATTTTGGATAGCGGTTCATTAAGCTTACATATTATGGTAAAATTAGGAATGATACAATGAATTCTATATTTAAGATGAGTAACCTTTAACGGATTTTAACGGAGAATATTTACATCCCATCCAATAATAACATTAATAACGTCCACATTTTTTACAAATTAATCAAAAATAAGTAAACTATTTTACTAATCAGACACCTGATTCAAAAGATCGGACATCACATGAAATTTGATTTGTAAGAAAACAAAGCTTTCAATAAACTTTTATTTTTTTTTTTAGTAATAACCACAAAATCCTTCCATCTCAAATGGAATATCACAAATTTCAAAAAAATTAAATGTATTATATCTATCTAAAAAATTATAAACATTCATTCAAAAAAAGACAAAAAAAATAAAATAAAAAATAAGAAATCTATCATTATTATCTACTCCTATTTTTAAAACTTTCGATTTTTACTACATAAAAGGAAATAAAAAAAAAAATTTACAAAGAAGGTGGTTTATATATTATATATATATATATATATAGGAAAAATTAGAGGGAGATCAGGGGTTAATTTTTTTTTTTTTTTTTAAAAAAAAAGTAAAAAAAGAAAAAGTATTTACAAACAAATTATTAGCGTATTATAAAGGTAAGGGTCAAAAGAGTGATTAAATTATTTATAATATGGAAATTGGAATGATGGAGTGTGTAATAAATTAACAATTGAATTAGATGTTGTCATAAATGTTAAGTAAGGTTATATTGTATGTAAGTAAAGAGATGTGATGTGATGATAATTGTTTCAAAATAACCTTAATTTCCCTCGTTATAAACCCTCCTCCTTTTAAATATTTAAACGTAAAAAAGTATATATATATATAAAATAATTACGAAAAAAAAATTAAAAAAGAAATTTTATATTTTATATTACTAAGACGCTATATAATCTATCTATTTGTCAAATTTAGTATAAAAATTCCCGATTATTATACATTCCATTTGCTCTATACCCACCATTTGATCCAAAAACATTGGATCCAAATCCACCAGCATTTGATCCAAAATGATGACCATAATTTCCAAAACCACCATTATTATTATTTGATCCGTATCTTCCAAATTTAGCACCAAATCCTCCTGATATTGGTCCAGCGCCGAATCCTTTCGGTATAGCAGGTTCAACAAATCCATTTGATGATGGTTGTCCGTAATATTGATTTGGTATTGAGTTGAACTCATTTTCATTAAATTTATATCCAAGAGTAGAATAGTTAAATCCACCTTGTGGTGTTTGATGATACGACGTTGCTGGAGAGCCAAATTGTGAAGGTGAGTTATAATGACCATGGGAGGCATATGTATCAGGGGATTCGTATCCTGAAGGGGATGTAAATCCACTTCCATGTCCACTATATGTACCATATCCGCCGTAATCGAAATATTCAAGAGATGAATAGTTTCCATCGGTATAACAATCGTATTCGACTGCATTTTTTCTTCCTTTTCTTCCAACAGGTGTTTGAAGTCCAATTTCTTTCGCAATTCTTTCATCTCGTTCCCTTTCTTCGGCTAATAACATTTCAACTTCTGTTACATCAACTGTACTAGTTAACGCTGCACGGCCTTGAGCTATCATATCACTTAATTTATCATTCACTTTAAGCAACAATTGTTCTGGATCATCATATTTTCCTCCACTTCCTCCACTTCCTCCTCGTGGAGTAGAAACTTCAGTAGATTTTCGTCGAAGTAATCTTCGAGGACGTCGTACGCGAATTTGTCGACGTCGAGGAATCGTTTGTGACATGGTGGTCGAATTAGTATCTTCTGGTGTTGATGTGGGTTTACTTTCAACATTAGAAGTCTCAATACGTTTTGGTGACGAAGACATTGGAGCATTTGTCATACTATTTTCTCCAGAATTTGACTTTGGCTAAATAAAAAATATTTTAATTAGAATTTCTCTTTTTTTGAAAAAAAAAATGAATAAATAATATCTTACCATTACCCATGAATTATCATATGGTGGTGGTGGTTCCTCTTCATCATCATTTACTGTCCATTTGGCATCGTCCTTCTTATCTACCTTTTTATCTACATCTTTATCGTTATTATATTCAATTTCACCTTCGCTAATTTCATCATTATAATAGGCTCCGTCCGAATCATCCGCATTTATTTGCATAACATCATCATGATAACCATTACTATAACTTCTTTTTCTTGTGGAATGTTCCGGTTCGGGTGTTCCACCAGCCATGAAAGTATTGTAAGTATCACTGATAGAAGCGGAAGTATAAGCTACGATTTCTGTTATTTTATAAAAGAAATTCGTCGTAACACCAGAACTAGGAGCATTATTTTCTGAAGTCAGGTCATTTGTGGGTGTAGTATCATTGTCATTTTTATCGGGATTCTGTTGCTTCATGAATGTTCCCTTTTGAGTTTCAAGGTTTTTCTTTGAGGTTATTTTTGAAGTCGAGTGGGGAAACTCTAATATTGAAGAAGACTGCATTTTTTTTTTTTTTGAATACTATTGTTGTATATTTATTATATTTACAAATTTTTTTTTTTTTTTTTTTAGAACCGAATGAAAGGATGTTGAAAAAAGTTTCGAGCTAAAATTTTATAATTTTAATATCGGGGAAAGAAGTTTGTTTTAAAATATTGTATCACCTTTTATAATATTTTCTTTTATCCAAAAAGAAGAAATGAAAAGAGTAAAAGTATTCCTGTGCGAGTTACTTTTAGAACCGACTTTTTTTGTTAATTTATGAATTATGATGCACAAGAAGTGTAACGTTTGAAGGAAAACTTCGAAGCTTTTAAATAAATAATTTTTGGGGGAATTGGGAATGTTAGGGTGCATACAATACAACGGAAATTACACGAACACAATACCCAAAATCACAGAATACAAGTATATTACAATTAAACCATTTTCCGCTTAAAGTTACACAATGACAGCGTATTGCGAAGGGAAAAAGATACCGTAACAAGTCTAGTACAATAATGAACCCGAAGTATATCTCGTGTATTAAACCCATTAATGGTTTGGGTTAGATTGCCATTGGATAGTTTTACGTGTTACATTACATTACATTCATTGCAATCATTGGCATTTCTGCGCATCATCCTTATATATATTCATTTATTAATATATTCAAACTATGCATAAGATTACTGCGTTCTTCTGCGTTCTTTAGCCCATGGGCACGTAAGCATCGCGGTTTCGCTTTACACCGCACTCATTCCCGAATAAATTTTGCGGAGAGCATTTTAATTTATACTTTTATAAAAAGTAATACAATAATTTATTATATTATAATATATTTATTATTTGTTCCTTATTCTACTGCAAGCATAACATTTTTTTTAATCAGCAGGTATTACTAAAATTGGCGTAAATCAAAAAGGTAAAATAACTTGATTTTAAGCGGCTCAATCAGAATTCATAAAATTTATAACAAGAATTTATTCAAGAAATTATCATTAGTAAAAAAAAAAATTATCACGTGTATACAGTACGTGGAGAAAAATCAACTTTAAAAGTGGGGTGACAAATTCAAAAATAACCCCGTTTTATTTTTTTTTTACAAGTTAAAATAATTAAATTATTAATTTTCGAAAATCAATACTAAAATTGTAAATTTTTTTTTTCTTTTTGATGCATATAAACGACGAATTACAGGTTTATTTATCCAAGTTTTTTCTTGTACACGACTTGTACGTTCACATGCTCGAATGTGCTTTGAGATTTGAACTTTACTTTTTTTTTTTTTTTCTTGAAACATGTAAACATTAAAGCATTAACACAAGTTTACTTTGTTAGAAAAAATGAAATGAATGATATTTACTTATTTTTAAAATAAATATTAATTATTTGTTTTGATTGTCAAAAAGTTGTGTTTGGCTGGTTTGGATGTACTTTGTTTTTATTTGAAACTCGTTTTATTTTGATTTTTTTAGATTTTGAATGATTTCTTTTTAACATTTTTTTTAGATTTTCGTTTTTTTTTCTTTTTTTTTCTATGCATAATTTGGGGCATAATTTGGGAAACCAATTACATCAGTATAAAATTTTTTATTTTATATGAATTTGATTTTTTAATAGAAAAATATTTTGTCGCAATCAAACAAAGATCATAATCGAACTATATTTGTATTTTGTAATCTTTAAGAATTGATAATAATATCAACTGTAAGCGAATAATAATAAAGTAAATAATAAAGTAAATGATACTATAATTATAAAACATTTCTCGTTTCTTTACTTATCTTTCAATCTATTTTTGCTTGTGATCAATGGCTTCATGTGAAATACGTTCCATTCATCCAAAAATGTATCTAGATCTTCTTTCCAGATTTCTTGTGGGGTTTATCTTCCAAAGTACGTTAAGTTCCATTCTTTGTTTAAAAATTTTTGTGCTTCTTACAAAATTCCCCAAGATTTTAATTTAATATTCATTAATTAGGTGGTTATATCAATCACCATCATCATCGGTTTCACGAAGTCCTTCATATTCGATATTATGGTCTAATCTTCGTTAAAATAAATCTGGTTTTTATTCCAGAGTTGATTGCACATGATCTTTTCTTTTATATTAATGTTCTACTCTATAATCATAGAATTTTAAAAGGCTAAGCATATCATGTTTTAGTGTTTTATGATAGCGCTATGATTGAACTTCTTTTTTAAGTCCTTCTAAAGCGTTGCTTAATTTCCGTTTAGTTAATTGAACCGTAAAATCGACGTTATCTATCGTATGATTCTCTTTCTATCCCGTATATATTAATATTATTATTATGTAAATTAATGAATAAAAAATAAATGTAAATTTCAACTAATATTGTGCATGAAATAAAAGAATCATATGTGTGTATATACTTTTTCCCAAACACGAGTCGGTAATTCAATAATATTATTTACTGACTCGATTATACAGCAAACTTCACATTTGTCTTTGTCTGTTCAATATAACCCAAAAACTATAGTATTTAAGAGACGTAAGAGCTGATTTTCACCATTAATCATTAGGTCAATTAATATCTCTTGGATTTTAATCTTGTATGTACTAACCCTAAATAAAGTAGTAATGCATTAATTAATCAAATTGTTGTATTTTATATTGAAAGAGAAAATTATAAAATTAACGAGTACCATTAGTATAATAAATTAAACGATCTGAAAGTCATCGTTACGGTAGGTAAACGTTGCCAATATCAATCTAGCCAATCTGGGAGCTGCAATTCTAATGTAACGTGCACTGACTGCATCTTTAACACTCTGTCAACATTATATTGATAATGAGAAAAAACAATCGTAGTTAACCTAAATTCTAAAATACAAATTGTTAAAAAAAAAATGTAAAAAACTTACTTATAATAGTCCTGAGCCATTGCAATGATAGTACCTTGAAAGCGGAGATGATATGTTTAGATCTAGAACTGCACTAGCAGCTAATGACAAGACTTCATATTTATTGTGAAAGAATTTTCAGGTTTAAACTCATCAAGGGCATTTGATATAGATCTTTCATTATCAACTCTCTATTGATAAAATCGGTTATCAACATTCTTTTCGATCATTGGTTGAAAGCCATGTCAACCAATTCACGTCCACCCTCTTGATCCTAAGTATTTTTAACTTTTTTCAAAAGTAGTACTCGTACCAAGACCCTTGTAATACTTAATTTTCCAGTCTTCACTATTATCGTTATTTCCGATTAACTTGCGGATCTTGCATAGTAAAAAACCAACCATTTAGTGTTCACCTTACAATAGGTGTTACAAATTTCATCACGAATTCCGGAACTTTAAGCAATGATGGGAAAGATATAATTTAAGAAATTGATTATCAATCCTTTATATGACTTCCATTGTGATCTTGAACAGTCATTGTGTCCATAACGTAATTCTCCTGTCAAACATTATTCTTTGCTCGAGAATTTGTATTATATGTTGTATTCTACATAATTCATAATCCGGATATGCGTACCTACTCTCACATTTAAAAGTTTTCCGCGAATCGAGAAACTTTGTAATTGTCACGGCCAAATATGGAAAACCAGCAACTGCTAAAATCTTGTAGAATTACTTTCGTTAAGATTTAAAATGAGTGAGAATTAAAATGCAGTTCTGACATTTTTACCGCCGGCAGTTTTGAACCATCCAGTTTGGCAGTACCTTTTTTTCATCATTTCTTCAGTTCTCGTTTCCTTCAGTTCCTTGCTTTGTTTATGCTTGAATAACTTTTATAAAATGGTTTGCTTGGATTACATTTGAATTATAAAAATTCATTATATTAAAATTCAATATATCAAACGATGAAGCTTTCAATGTTAGGTACTCTTTGTTTGAGAATAGAAGATCAAGCTTTCTATAAACGATTAATAAAACCAAATATGATTTTTCGATTGGTTCTTTTACCCTTAGTTTTTTTGTGACTGCTACCATTAGTTTCTATAATTTGGACTGTGACGTAATCAACACGAGTACCACCTTTAGTAAATGCTATTGACAAAGCTAGGATCCTTTCGGAGATGGAACAAAAGTAATCTCCTAACTTTGATTATAATAACTTCTTTGTAAATAATTAATTATTGTAAGTGATAAATCGTCGATTCAACTCATATCCGTCAGGATATTTTTTGAAATTCTTGATTTTCAATTCAAGAAGATTTTAACATTTTTGGTCAATCAGATATCACCATCAAATTCATTTGCCAGTATCAGTTTTTTTTGAATTGACCCAACGTAAGTATCTGGTCTTAGTAAAAATATGTTCAAGTTGCGTTTTCATTTGACGAAGAAATAGATAAAGTGACACTAATAAGAAGAGGCTTCGTTGGAAACAACATTGTTAGAGGATGCTTCATTAGTGGTGAAGAAGTTTTATCGAATAAGTCTTCTTATAAGAGGCTTTGCCAGAAAAGTTTTACTTGAAGATGTCTTTTTAAAGTTGTCTTACTAGTTTTCGTAGCTCTCTTAAAGTATATTTCTCTTTGTCTGGAGATAGACAGAATCTAATGCCAATAACATTTTGAAGTGTTCCTAAGGTCGTTTGTTTAGATTGACGCGTTTTCGGTTTGTCACTCTTCGTTTGAATCTGAATACTCGTTTTTTGCTGAAGAGTCGCTGATATAGTTTGTTTACGCGTTATTGTAACTTTTACGGTATACTCTTTATCTGAAAGAATATCGGAATATCTAAAATACAAAGTTTTAGACGCGTTTTTGATATAGTTCTGATAATTTTGCGTCAATCAATTTTTTTTTCTTGGAAGAATTTTGACAGGTAAATAAGTAATACTGTACATTGACGTTGATACGTACGCCCTTATATGTACGTTTAAAAAAATTATACAAAAATTTCTTAAAATATTCTCGTACAACTTTACAGATATGGACCGGATCTACAACTGAATGCTGATGATACAATAAGAACCGATCACAAATAAAAAAAGAGAGCGCGAAGTCCGAAGGAAATTGGTTTTTTCCCAAACAATCGTGAGAAAAATGTGAAATAGTGTCTAGTTGCGACACAGGGCCTACCCTATAAGCTAATAGTGCTGACAAAAGCATATGTTATTTATGTTATGAAGGGCTAAGGACTTTACAATTTCGAGATTGCCAGGCGTTAGTCCAACTTTGAGTCTTTCAGATAATCTCCATGTGAAAAGGTATAAAGATTCCGTACTCATATGTTTTCATAGAACTCTTGGCATCATACGACAATACTAATCATTCTTCTTATCTCTATCTTTTTCCCAGCAAGATATAAAGCATGTAGAATGTGTAGAAGTTCAACCAACTTTCCCGCAAAAACATAAGGTATGTAACGTATTTTATTTATTTATTTATAGAAAAATGTTTCAAAGCATTTTTGCATCTGTACGAACGAAATTTTATTCACTATGGGCCTTTACATTTAGGAAAAGCAAAATGCCGGAAATCAGGCTGTTGCTCTTAGCGATTCAGTTGGGAGAATCACACAGCAACATGTTGTTACAATCAAAATTAACAACGAAGAATCTGTCCATTTCTCAGATCGCAAATTAAAAAAGAACATACGCCCCGATTACCGAATTTGAATTCCGTGTAATTGATATAAAGAATGATAGCATCAGTTGGTGCTGAAGGAGTACTGCAAAGCGTAAATGGTGGGAGACGGCACTATCATTGATAAAAGAAGAAGTGAAAACCTTGATAGGTTTGCGAAAAGTGAAAACAAGATCTTATTTGTAAATATTGGTTGTACCGCATCGATCATTTCGAGTTTTTAGAGAGACTAAAAAGGATTACAGTCAACCCCCTATATAGCCACACCCTGGGACCGAAAAAAAATGGAGTGATTATAAAAATACTATAGAATGTGACTAAAGAGGTATTTTTTTAATAAGCTTATTAATAACACTTCACAAGATTTAACGAAAATACAAAAGCATATGGACAAATATCATCATTCATCGGAAATTGGGCGAATTTCACACAAAATTGATGTTGGCGAAGGATTTTCTAATCTGCTTGGACCAATGTAAATGTGCTTATAAGGTGGAATGTGACTATATCTGGGGTGACTATAGAGGAGTCGACTGTAACCCTTTCTCAACTATAAATTCAATGAGAAAGAATAGTATATTAAACTTTTTTCATTTGCTTGTATTATAAAAGAATATAATAAAGATACTGCTTCTTGCTTGTTTTTTACCTAAAAAGATTAAGAGAAGAGCTTTTTACTATTTACTTTTTCGTTTTAATTTAAAATTTAAGAATGTATTGAAAGACAACTTGTGCAGATATTAAAAGGTTTTGGGGGAGCACTATAGTTTACAACTCTCGATCCCGCAAGTGATAATTCCCGATCAAGAAAGAAATTATGGTTTAATTGCCCAATCCAAGCCATAGTTCGGAGCAGTGGCCAGGTGGTAAATATCATTTGTTTGCTTATTTTTATAAAAGTATGAACGATCTATTAGCAAAATGTCAGATGAGGAGATAGATGAAGGCTATAATGAATTTATCGAAGAATATGGATAGAGAGAAGATTGGTGTATTTATGATTTGGAAGAGTGGGATGATCTATTGCACAATCTAAACTCATTGAAATACAAAGGCAGTCAGGCATTGGAGAGAGAAAACGCTTATATAGTTTACCTTATATAAGTAATCCAACATCTTTGTTCCATGTATTCATACAATCCGATGCTTTTTAGAATTGCGATATAATTCAGATGAAAATATGGTCAGATGGTCTTGATGATATGGGTGACCGGGGGAAAATTAAGGTAACTCATAGTGATAGAGAAGTTCCGATGTGGGTTAATGCTTCAAGGTGATGACTCAATAGTGGATTATTATCTGAAGGTAAAAGAGATGTAATGATGTCATCAATCTCTGTGAAAACATCTTAGAAGAGAATTCATTAGAGGATTATCATAAGAAAATAAGTATTTTGCTTTAATGATTTTGAATATATTCACCACGGTGTGTCGTCAAGATCGGATTAAACTCTTTAGATCAAGAGCTAGGTGTCCTCAATCAGTTATCACTCGATGGTTGTATGAATGCTTATTCAGGTAGAAAAAGGCTCAACAACTACAACCATGCTTAGACTTTATATCGCAAGCAGAGATTGGCTATTGAAACATACATACTATTATGATGATGAGACAGATGATTGGGTGCATCATACGAGGATGATGGTAGGGGATGTAAAGAGACTGCGGTATTCTGAACCCGTGAGATGATCACCTGAAATACGCATCTAAGATTTGCATATATATATATATATAATACATTACACAAAAATTAGTACGTTAATCAAGATTTTTTTCAAACATTTTTATTTTTATTATTTTGAGAAAAACGCGTTTATAAAGCTCATAAATTACTGTGGATTTACTTCATTTCTTTTAAAAATTTAATCGATGCCAATGAAAAATCTCAGGAAAAGGTTAGTGGATTTTACGCTTTGTTATAATTTAAAAATTTATAATTAATTAATTTATTTAAATTATAATATTCCCGCCAAAGTACATGAATACGGTTGGGGATATATCGATCAAAAAGGAATACGGTGTAATGGTGCACCAAAGTTGAATTTACACAAGTACGTTTAGTATATTATTTTTTTTTTTTTTTGTATTTATACGTCAATGACAATCTGGAAAAAAATTCCCGATATTTAACAGTTTCCAAATAATGTTGATTTGGAATTGTTAGAAACTATGTTTAATGAGCGTTCCTACCATCCTAATGGCATTAACTTTGAGGTAAACTAAATTTAAATATAATTTATTGATTATTGATTATTAAAATAATTAATAATTAATATTAATATTTAAGTTGCAGAAGTATAAATCTGATGTAATAGATGAATGCTATATGGTATGCCCTAATAATACTCGATTTGATGAATGCTGTAAGTAATTTTAAACAATAATGTTGGTATTATCCGTCTATTTTAATTAATGTTTTAATGTTTTTATTAAAGCATTGTTACATAAAGCTGGAAATCACGTTGTTAAAGGAATTATAAAAAAGAAGACTGATAGTTGTCCAGTCAAATTTTACCATATAATTCCAGAAAATTGAAGAGATTTTCCATTTATTGTAACCATATCGGTAGGTAAATGTAATCACCACCTCCACCACTTCACAATACACCATACAATATAAGAAGTCAACTTCAAAAAATAATTGATAATGAATATATACTTGATTTAACAGCAAGAAAGCTTTTAATTGGTATGTTATTGTATATATTTATAATTATGAAGCAATTAAAAACTTACAAATCAATTTTCACTGATAATTATAAATAGGATCCATGATTAAAAGTTATTTAAATGGAAAGGCAATAAGTGATTTGCATCCATCATTGTAATCAATCTAAAATCAATTATACAGTAATATTGAGAAAAGTAGGCGCTCACAATAGTAGGACTCACAATACCCATTTTGGTCAAACCATTTTGGGAGTTGCATACGAATTTATGAAGCACGAAATCCATATGCACGATCAATTCGTAAGTACATAATTTTAATTTGATAATTTATTATGTAAATAAAATTTAATATGAGTTTATTTTATTTTAGGTTTTCCTGATAATGGGCAGTATATTGTTTTATGTGCTACCAAACAAATTCATGGTATTACAAATTAATGGGAAGTAGCAGTATCACAAAAAAGTAAGTTGAAATGAGTTTAATGATAATATTTATTAATTTTTTTTTTATTATTACTAATTTTTGTATTATCCTAATATATAGCTTTTAATATTTACACGAATATTTACAAATATTGGAACAACTAATCAAAACTTAGCAAAAAATAATCCGAGACTTCAAAATTTATTCATATTATATCGTAAATATTTCAAAACTTTTTTGGATTTGAAGATTTGAAAGAGATATAGAGGAAACATTTAATTTCGTCACATTCGTGGTGAAGGATTAGGATGTATAATTGCTGACCAACATAAAGGACAAGCGTAGGTAAATTAATAAATATATAATATGATATTTTAATGATAATTAATTTCTAATATTAAAAAATTGATTTTAAAAGGTTTTTAAATTCAAAGTATTCACATCTAAGCCAATTAAACACTTACAACATATTCAATAAAAACGGTAAGTTATAAATAACAATTTTTTATAAATTATTAATTATTAGCTGGTAAATATTAAATTATTAATTATCTTATTATAGAAACATTGATAAGAACAGACAATTATCCTGAAATTCTATTTATGTAATACTACAAGAAAAAGTCTTAGAAATATTAAACAAAATTGAGTTTTGTAAAGAATCAGGAACTGCAGGTAGTTAACAAACTATATTTGGCTTTTCATATAGCTAATTCAGAATCTAAATCAATTACCATTACTAAATAAGCGTTTAATCTTATATATATTGGGTGAAAGATAAGCGTGTTCCATGGGTTTTGTCAGGGATTTATATATATTCACAAAAATGGATCGCACTATTTGACCCAAGCACCAAATAATACTAATGTTGGAGAAAGTGCCCATGCGAATATAAACCACGATGGTCGTAACCTTTAGTGCCTATATAATTAAAAAAATTCAATTTTTTTTAAAGAGGATGTGATTTTGATAATACCATCAAATCTCTATACAGTGATTATATAGAAATAATATGTAGGTTAAGCAAAAATAGGTGCTTATAAGGAGATGGTCATATAGAGGGTGATTATATGGAGGTTTGACTGTAGATGGTGGGAGAGTGTATATATTCATAAAAAGTATAATGTTCCAGATTCCTATTGAAATAAATCAGCAGGTAATATCTTAATTATTTTAAATAAATTATAAATTCTATATTTTATTATTATTTTAGAAAAAAGATGTTATAAGGGTAAAAAATTTTCATGACAAAAAAACAAAAAAGTGATCCAAAGAACAAAGTAAATGTAATCAAAATTATTGATTTGGATGAAAATCCACGTCTTGAAGAACGAAAAAAAAATTGAAAGAATTAGAGCAAGATTCTGCTAAACATTTAAAAGCAAAAAAAATTTGAAAGAGAAATTATGTTATTTGCGAAACGAAAAGGTATTTTGGGTCTATAAACCTATCAAGAAGTATCATGTTTTTAACAAAAAAGGAATAAAAATTCACATGAATTTTTCTACGACAATTAGTACATTTTATATGATGCCGATTATCTTGCTTATAAATTATAATAATTTATTAGTATAAGTCGAATATTACTGGTTGAAATTCGTTTATCGCTTATTAAGTACTATATTGTACTGTATATATATATATATATATAATCTATTGAAATTTTTACAGTACAGCTTAGCCGATCGTACAGCAGCAAACATTTTAGTAAAACTCAAGGCATTGATATTTTATATCATGATTATACCTTATCAACAGAAGGAATATGAAATTAAATAAAGTGAAAGTAAAAGTGATTCAGTATTATTTATTAATATTAATATATAATTTATAGGTAAAAAAATTCAATCATTGTATACTGGACAAAAAAAGTTTGTTTATTTGCTAACGTTGATGTTATATTCAGAAAAAGACATACAATGCTTGAGAATTATTGGTCATCAAGGTTTGCATTCGGTTCAGAGTTCTTTGTATAGTCCCTCCAGTAGCTGAAGCCATAGAAGGAGAGCCTGCTTCTGTATAAAAGATGAACCTACGTTTTTACTTTGACTGATTAAATCTATGATATCAACAAAATTTTAACAAAGTTTTCCCGATAAGAAATTTCACTCTGATCAGGATCAAATAATACGTTGTGCGCGTTGAGAAGAAATAAACTAAAAAAATGAATAGTACAAACTTTAAATAACAAACAGAAATAACAATTAATCGTGTAATTTTGAAGTGAATATTTATACTTACAACCGTTTAAAAATATCTTGTATCTGCTCCACAGGGCACAGGGATGATTAGGAAATTCCATATGAGTACATTTGAATCCGCTATTTGACTGGTCGGTCACATTTTGTAGATTTTGTGGCAAAATTTCTGAGACTTTCTATAGGGTATTACATTCTGGACATACTGCATATGTCTTCTCTTGTTTATTGATTCCTAAGAGTTTTCCAAAAGAGATCATAATGTTCTTATGAGAAAAAGGCCCAATATATGGCTTCCCGAGAACATCTTCAATAATACTACTATCCAGCGAACTTACATGACTTACTTTGAATACCATATCCTGTATATAGACAGACCTGACAGAATCTTTTAATAAAAAGACTGAATCATCACTTGCAAGCATGGAGTAGGCATCAGTAACCCATAAAAGACAATCAAATGGATAAATGGTTTTTCAATAGATGAAGCAATAAGGGAACATCCTGGGAGAACATAATCACGAGGCAATTTTTGCAGGGTAATTCTCTTTTTGAACTTTCATCAAGATCGTACAAAGTCTGAGGTTAGATGTGCAAATGGAATGATTTCAATGCAATTTCCATATGCCCATGGTTTCATCAAATTCACTACGTTCCTGATGACTTGATTCAATTTGTTGAGGAATGTTATTATATAGAATGTCCGCGATTGCGGTCACGACTTTTTTGATTATTATTTTAACTCAACTACGAGTGACATTTCCAAGAACATATTCCTGCAGAATGTTGACTATAAGAATTAGTTTGCTAGAGATGGATACCATTTGGTTGTGTTAAGGTCATGCCTGTAACCAGACAAAAATCCACTTTTAATAAAAGAGCATTTTGAGGAGTGAGAAGACAAAGAATTGCTAAGATAATCTGGATCTTGGAGATGGTCTGATTCTTCACTACTACTAGTAGCTACTACTAATATTACTAGAATCCATTGTTTATTTTCAGATCACATGATATCTAGAGCTTTAAGTTTTATTCTACATTAGCTATAAAGTAGTTTTTTAGAATACCATGAAAATATTTTATTCCTATAATATTCTGCCTGGTTTGTTTTCGAGCTTCTCTTTTAGCATCTATTTTTTTTTTTTTTTGTAAGATAAGAATAAGTGATCATTTGTTATTAGAGTAAAATTGAGTAAAATTGGTCAAGAAAAAAATGTAAAAAAAAAAAAATTTAACTAACATCAGAATATTTATGATCTACTTCTATGGCAAACAACGAAAACAAAATGTCATATTCCAAAATAATGGACACCGACCTAATTCCAATAATTCATCATCATCATCATCATAATCAAAATAAAATTCATAATTTCTTTTAACAATATACTTACATCCAATTTGGATTCGGCAATTTTCTTCTTTCCATGAATCTTGAAGAGCTTAATTACAACTTGGGCATTCGCTATCTAACACGAGGTTCAACCCCTTAACCCCTAATTAATTATTCATTATCATTATAATTATCGTGATCGTTAATAATATTATCATACGCGGGTGGTGGTGGTGTAAATGTTCAACATATGAAACTATTTTTAAATACTACAAAATTGATTTCGTGAAACAATTCCTTGTTGTATCGGCTGCTGATGTGTGCTAGTCCTGTCGGTTAAGCTTATCGAACCTACTTTACCTTCCAGTTATCGAGAATCTTTCGAGCTTTTTTTACTGTATAACCCACTTCTTGAATATCTTTTAGCGCGTAAGAATTTTTACGTAAATAAAGGTAGATCATGCCCCATTTATGGAGTTACACTAATGATAATGATTATCATAAATAAAATTATAACAGAGAAATTTCTAGAAAAATCTGTAAACACGATCGATATCATGTAAATTGACGGAAAAAATAGTTCCTTTTTTTTAGACTGACAAATGACAATGGCTACTGGTAGTAAAGCAGTTGAGTCAAAATGATTATGTGAGATCATTCCTCAACAAGTTACGCAAAGCTGCCAAGAAGGCGGATCTTGTCGTAGGCACTTGTGAATCTTTGATACATTGGTATCTCATATATTATATCGTATTTTTAATTTGATGGCCTTGGAGATTGGGATTGTTTGTGATATACATGTAATCAATAGTTTCTAAGATTGTATTACGTCCAAACTAGTCTGCATTCAGGGCCGTTAGCGATGTAACAATATTAGCAAAATCTGATATTCATTGAGGTCCGTATGTTTTATGCTTTAATTGCTTGGCAAGAGCAAATTTTTATTAATCCAGTCAATCTTTTTAATAGGACAAACATATAAGTGATATTAAGCTTGGGCCAAAATGAGAATGTGTGTCGAGCACGTAGATCTTATGATGTAACTGTATTTGTGGTTCGTGTGATTTCCACTTACGTTACATTTTATCATACTGTAATTCGAAAAGAGTATTGGTATGAACTTGCGGGTGGCTGTCCACGAAGACAATCAGTTACAGTTTAAAGATGGCCAGTCCAGATGATGGTTTTTACCCTCATCTCCTTTCCTTACGCATATTATTATGCTAATCCTCCTTGGCAAAATATCTTACAATCATAACAATCATAACAAATCATAATAACAAATAAACTTATCAAACCTTTCAAACTCTCAAACTCATAAACCTTTAACTTAATCTCACAAAAACGCAAACTGAGAAGTGGTGTATCCTTAAAAGACATTTCCCCCCTAGAAAAAATGGAAAAGAATCCAAATTAAATGTGCGATATTCAATCAGCATTTATGATTTTAATATTTAATTACACAATTTCTAAATGATATGTCATCTCTTTTAATACTAATCTGACAGAACCAAATGAAAGATGAGCTGTATTAGAAGCATTATGCAAGCTTCATCATGTAGTTTTTAATGACGATCGCTTTGCGTAATTATTGGAGTTATATTAATAGTATTAGCATTTTGGGAGATTAATAGGGGAAAATATCTGAAAAAGATCAGGTATTAATGTTAGAATTTAGTATTAATTAATATATGTAGACAAATATTCTACTGATAAATTAGATAAGTTATCATATCAAACTATTCTAATTCAATACCTCGATTCCTTGAATTAATACGTGGAATAATCACCTGTTACATCACCTGTGGGTTCCACTACATGTTGTTAGTATGATTTTAAATAAATTTCACGAAAAAGTTGTAACACAGATTGTGCGTAGAACAATAAGTTTAGTTATCGTTTCTTCGCTGAGCGTTGTCGATATTATTCGATAAATAATTATATAATAAGCCTTTGTAAGGTTCAAGAATTTTTCATGGCACTGTTGATCTCGATAAATCATTTTATTTAATATACAAAAATAAAAATACATTATTACTGCAATAAATACATATACTATATATTATATTATCATTAAAAAATATATAAAAATATTATTAAAAAAAAAAAAAAAAAAATTATTGATGGATATTATTACGAAGAACTTAAAATTGACCATTTTTTCCTTTTTGGATTAGTAGTAATAGGAACAATTTGAAAAACTTCATATTCATCAATAGAAAATTCATCTTCACTATCCCTAATTTTATGTTCATAACTAGTTTTAACACATCTACATTCACAATTATCTTTAAAATTAGAACCAAATAATCTTAAATCAGAATAACCACCACCGAAACAAGGACCATAAGATTCACTTTGATAAATAGCTTTAGAAGAATTTGAAATTTTTGATAAAATAGGATCATAATTAAATACTTTATCACCAAGAGAAAAAATAAAAGAAGAATTTGTTGGACTATAATTTCCTAAAACATTTGAATGCCAATTAATTGGATTATAACCACCTAATATTTCACCAGTATTTTCAACTCTTAAAATTGTTATAGTTGGACTTTTTTCATCACATTTAGTATGAAATTCTTCAGAAGCGAAACCATCCCTAGTACCACGTATTAATAATTTAAATTCATATTGAGGAAAATTTTGATGAGGAAAATTATTTATACCATTAATTGAAACTTCATGAATCCAATTTGATATTAAAGTAGCATCAGAAGGGGTAATTAAATTAGAATCAATTTCTTTAATAATTTTATTATCTTCTAATAATAAAGATAAAAATTTAGAAGTAACATCAATAAAAGGTAATTGACGAATTTCAAGTGTTTGAGTATAAAAATCCGGATCAACATAATCTAAAGATTTTTTCCAAGGTCTAACTTCTGAAAGAAATTCTTCAGTATCCATATCAGTAAAATTAATTAAAGGAATTAAAGGTTCTAAAGTTTCACCCAAAGCTTTAAAATCATCATCAGTCCATTCAGCATATTTTAAAGGTACAGTAGGAGTATGAGCTACACCCCATTCAACTAAATTTCTCCATAATATACCAGGTTTAATTGAAGAAAAATTATGACATTTAAAAAAAGAAATTAAAATATCTTGATCCATTGTAGTAAAATCATTTGAATCAAATATAGTAGTAGGATTCTCTTTTACTAATTCTATAACACATTTTCTTATTATTGGAAATCTTTCATCATTTTGCATAGCAAACCTATGAAATAATGCGAAATGGGACATTAATCTCCATGAATTATTTAATAAATAATCTTGAATATAATCTGTTAAATCATCAAGTTCTAATTCATCAGTTGAAATCAATAATTCAAGAATAATTCTTGCATCATGTTCCGCAAGACATATCGTTCCTCCATAAATAAATCTAAGGATATGGAAGATAAAGTTAAAAAAATTGTTATTAAAAAAGTAAAAAAAAAAAAAAATTTCAAAATTTTTACTTTAGAATGATATCGAAAACTTCGGGAGAAATATCGAGTTGTTTGAGAATAATCAAATCTCCTTGAGCTTTCGCCCAATCGCTTGATAAAGTGTCCCTAAAATAAGCTGATCTCGATCGTAATACAAGTGAATGAGCACGAAATTCTTTACTATCAGGTTCTTGACCAGTTTGTATTATAACATCAGCGTATTCTCCCGTCTCCAATAATTTAAGATAATCTTGCGATAACCCTTCAAAAAATTTACTTTCCATTCTTTGAAAAGAAAGGTTAAAAAAAAAAGTGCCGATTTTAGGTAAAAAAATTTGATAATATAGTCAGAAAAAAAGGGATAACACCACTTTATATACCATTATACCAGATTCCATACCAATTTTAAGTTTGATCACAAGTGAAACAACATGACATGATTTTATGGGGCGGGAATCTTTAATTCGACTAAAAGAGAAATTTTGATCGGCTGTGAAATGCATGTGACAATTGTGACATAATAAAATTCAGATTTCTGATATGGAAAATCCTATTTTAAATAAAAAGTAAACTTGTTTTTTTCGTAGATTGTTTTTTAAATAATAGATTTTCAAACATTACCAGGAAATATTTTTTTTTAAAGCATAAATATTATAAACTGTATTTAAGTAAAATAATACATAGAATAATTACGTCAATAGTTTACTAAATTTAGAACACTATAATAGGATTGAGCATAAAAAAACCCTTTCACAGTTATAAATAATTATAATAACGTAATATTTTCTAATACTAAAAAATTCAAGCATATTTTATTGAGAAAATTTAGTGTGAAAACCACAAAAAAATACGACTATGGAGACCAATACTAATTAATAAAACTTAATTATTATTTGACTATGATGTATACTAAAAATAAATTAATTAAATTATAGTATATTTGACTATGTTGCGTATAATAAAATAATCAAGGATTTATATATCAATCGGAGCTTACATATTTTCTTTTAGAATAGCCCGAATGATCTGCGATCGCGTGATAACTTGTCCAATAAAATCGATTATCATTTAGCCACATATATATCCATTTATTTTATGCAGATGATCGATCATACGATAATTTAAATAAGTAGAATAAAAAAAACTTATTTATACATTTATATAAACTTTTTAAACTTTTATATAATAAACTTTTTTTAAACTTTTACATATAATTTTTTTTTAAAACTAATACATAAACTTTTTTAACTCTCAATATGAACTAAAAAAAAGCTAAACGATAATATGTAATTAACGTACTGTTTAGATGAGCGCAAATTCGCTACTTGTATTCAATAATGGATGTTAGACCAAATAATTTTTATAAGTTCAATAAAAATCATTTATAAGCATATTTTCATATACAGTACTATCAACATTACTATTTCCTTGATAAAATCCTTATTATAATTACTAAACTAATCAAAGACCAAGTTTTAATAGAAGACATGCAAATCAAATATATTTAAAAAATATGTTTTTAATAAATAGCAACGATAACAATTTATAAACCTATTATAATTTTAATATTGCTATATTGTTCATACGTTTATATTTGAAAACTTTCATAAATCATTTCTAAATTTGTAAACGACCCTAAATATATTTGCTACGCATACAATTTTTGAAAGAATTGCGTTATTTTTTAAACCCATGTTTAATTGTATGAATTAAATTTCTTACTTTTCGGGGATTGTTAAGATATCATATTCCGGAGAATAATAATTATATTTGCATTAAATTTTTTTAAATGCTATATTTTCATTAAAGTTTAGTGAGAAGTACAATAAAGTATTAATTAATAAATTACTAGAACAAAATGAAAAATTTGCGTAAGTTTATCTGCTCAATTACAACCTGATTATATACATATATAAAATAAAAAAAAATGAATAAATCATTTAATAATAAAGTCAATGTAGTTGTAAAATTTTTTCTATTATATTTCGATATTTTAATCTATTGATATTTAAAATTTTAGTAAATTTCTTTATCAAAAATCGAAAGCGGATGAAATATAACTTACTTTGTAGATCAACTGCAAGTATAAATAGCTTGTGAATGTGTTGTTAATTGATTGTTTTCTTTGTATTCTTTAAAGAAGCATTTTTCTGCTTATTTAAATTCATTTGCCCATCTCTAATTGGTTTAACATTTGGTCTATTATCTGGATTTGAATCCCAGCACTTTTTCATTAGATAAATATACTAATTTGATTTCAATTCAGATATTTCAGTATTTCAGGTCTAATCCCATTACATATATCTAATGCTAATTCTAGATCATGTGCACGATCTTCAAAAAGTTGTTTTTGTTCAACTTATTCAAGGAAATACGCTAGTAGAAGAGTTCTCAGCTCAAATTAAGAAAATTAGTAAAATTGCAGGAATGACGCCCGAGGACAATTTATTCGTGGACTAAATCCTTTGAATCAACACAATATTCGCATGATGGTCAAATTTAATGATACACAAGACAATATTACAGAGGCGCGCCCCGCTTCACAGGGTACTTATGGTTATTTATCATATAGTTATTATACCACCTAATCCATTCATTAGTCAGAATACAGCAGAGCTAACAAATCAATCTCAAACGCCATTTTATGCTCATACAATTTTGGATGAATCATCTTCAGAGTTTTTCTGATCTATTGTTTGCGTCTCCAGTCTGATAAATTCTGATAAATCGCAAATATTCCTCTATCCGATCACATTTCCCAGAAATCTGTTCTGGAGGAATAGGTTTGCGGGAGTGATGCATATGCTTTTCGTAATCAGATTGCTCAAATATTTTGCGCGCCCAGTTTCTCACAAGTTCGAAGCCAGAAAAAAAAAATATACTTATTATGCTAGAATCGAGAATGATGAAGAAATTAGATATTAGATAAATGCTTATTGCGTCAGTTAACAATATACAGTATTAGCCTTTTTAATTTGCTCTAAGAAATCGATACATTCTGTTTAGGTTGCTTTATTTGAGAAACTACTATTCTATGTCTTCATTCTGGTATCCATATTATAAATAAAAGCCCTTCTACTTTTTGCCTGTTCATAAACAATTAATTTATGGCGCAAATATTGCTCAATCCGATCACTTTTTTCTGTAATTTCTACTGGTAAAACAGGATTGTGCTTTATATTAAATAATTGCACAAAAGCTCTTTTGATTAGACAATGATCTCTTTGATGTCTGCCATTTAGAACGAATTTACTTTATCTCAAGTGTTTGAGCGAAGTATAACATCCGATCAGTTTTTTGCAAGTAAAGTATTAGTATGATGAGCACAATAAAAAAACTTATGCAGATTATGGTTTATAAAATTTATTTTTGAGCCAGAGATGAATTATGTGCAGTAGTCAAAAAAACAATATTACAGCATGCATAAAACCCTCGCCCGTACATGCATTACCTAAACTATGGCGAAACTACAAAAAACTATATCACGAACAGTCTGTCACTGCGTCATATGACTTTTGGCGCAGTATTCCATGAAAGATCACGTGCACTGGTTAAGTCACGAACTAAATAGGATAAACTTGAAATGACGGTGTACCTACATATTACTCGCAATCTAACTGGTATTGCTATTTTTTGTTGGAATGTCAATAAACGTTTCTTTTCCGTGCTGAATTATGATAAAATTGATAGCAATGCTGAAGTAACCCTAGACTTGTTGGACAATACGGAAGTAGCCAGGTATTTTTTGACCATAGATAGCTTATTACTTACCTCCGCCTGATCGAACGGTTTGTGGACCGGATGCTTCCGTCGTCCTCTCTTTCTCATTATATAAATGGTTTACATGTTTGTACATTCTTTTTAACCTTTTTTTATTGCAGATGGAATGCATTATCGCCCAATGATTAAATGAGGCGTTTCCTGCAGTTCCCCGAATTTTGTTGTGGAGGTACATTCAAATAGTGATTCTGAGGATTATTGTCACCAAAGAATGTTAGACTATATGGATGCAGATGTTGAAGTAAGTGACTAATGATTGTTTATTTGTTGATTATATTTATTTTGTTATTTCTATTAATTATTATGGTTATTTTTATCTAGGAGGATATTTTAAATTGACCCCACCAATCGAACTCTAAAAATTTATCGAGTTGATAGAAACGGTGATATCGCGAAGAAATTCTCGTACCATTACTTAATGGATTCGTCTTAAACTTGCAGGGTATTATTTAAAGTAAAATGGATAATCAGGTACTGAAGGAAGCAAAAAAAGGCTTAATTTCGATATCAATTTTTTTATTTACTGCGAAGCAAAATAATGTTTTCACATGCGGAGTAAGGTAAAAAAATTCGGGGGGAGGGATTTAACATATATAAGCAAAAATATTATTATCTTGTAATATATAATGAAATCCAAATAAAATTATGCGCAACAGTAATTGCATTAAAAAATCACGTAACTAAAATTTCGAAACTGATACAAATGAAATGTATTAAACCAGTTTTCTTTATTTGATGAGTAGTTCACACAGCATTTACACAAGCAAAAGATATATAAGCCCGATGTGGGAAAGAATACTTTATTAATTTTCAAATATATTTAACTGAAGGCGCTGTGCATAATCTAGAGACATTTTCTCATACTATTATCCAATACCATTTTTATCCTCTCCGTATGGATAAAGGACTGGATGATTAGGCAATAGAGTAGGGGGGATTAAAAGGAAAGAAAATAGGAAGAAGTAAAGAAGCTTTAGATGGAATAGAAAGAACGTAGCTTCAGTTTAAACCAAATTCGGACGGGTAAGGTTAGTGAAAGGATTTACTCATGATTGTTTATTGTTAAAAACGACCTCATAAGATGGTGGTTGGACAGATGAAGTCGACATATTATTTCCTCAACGTAGAGTACGTGTACGTTTCTGCTGAGCCTTGATTTCAACGTTATTACAAATGGAAACAGTTTTCTAACGGTAACTTGGTTAGGAATTTCCTTTTACCTTTGAATTTTTAATGTTTTGCTGCTTATATTCTGGTGCACGTGCACGCAACGTGTACGCAACCTTGTTGTCCAAGCGTTACGTTGCTTGGAAAAAATCCAGAATAAATTGAAAATTCCGATTCCGGTACTAATAAAATTTCCCAGAAATCTAATATGCCATATCCAAAAAAAATTTTGGAATTTCGGTTTTACAAGAAATCTTTCGGAAAATCCGGCAAAATTTAGAATAGATTTTATACGCTGTCTGTAACGCACTTTCACACCTTCACACCGACCAGATTCTGCGCAAATCATATGTTAAGTTCCTTGAGGGCCTTGATTGCGTAATCAACTCATCCAGTATTTTCTTCACCAACAATTTCGAGTTGAGGAGACAAGGTAAGTTCTTTATCAGTTATTCTTTGACAATGTAGAGCGAAGCATGGAGAACGGCCGAAATATATTCACAGCGCATGGCTTCGTTGCTATCGGCAAGCATAGTCCCCATATTTCCCAACCTGCGCTTTATTTCCTTTATACATTGTTACAACTCCACGTCTTCATCTTTGAGTGGATAGGTTGCTTAGAATTCGAGTGAAAAAAGTTAGCTTAACAGTATGATAAATATCATGAAAAACAGTATTAAAAACTCACTCGGCGGAAATTGACGGACTGTGCCTAGAACCATTACCACCAATCCCATACTTTTTCAACACTTCCTACAAACTCTTTGTACGAGGAGAAGGCCCTAAACCTTTTCTCCTTACATTCTTTAGCGAAGTCTGCAAGCCTTTTCGCAGGGCCACCTGGCATTCCATAACTAAGAAACTCCTCTTTGGTAGTCTTGGAAAGTCACGACCATTAACCCTTTGCTTGCGAATTATTTCCTTTTTTCATTTCCAGAGAGGCCGTCTCATCTACGAAGTTGTGAGTTAGCCTAAAGGGTCCCGGACTTTGACCATAATCAATTACTGGAGTCGTCCTGGGTTTTTTGAGAAGATAAAAATCTCATTTCCAGCTGGAGTGAGATAAAAATTTATTTCTGGGAAAGGCGGAGTGTTAATATATATTAGGTTTTATGTCGCACAAATATTGCATCATTACACGTGACTCTTTCTCGAAAAAAAAATAGTTAGCATGACTATACATGCGTGTGGCTCAGCTGATCCTCATACCATTTATTTTTTATAAATATAACAATTTTATACTATCCTTTATATCAAAACGCTTAAATATGTCACTATCGAATTTTTCAATCTACTCAAAATTTTTATTTATTTTATTTTATTTTATGTGAAGACGGACAGACTATTAACAGGACATAAACGTAACCGTGCTATCCTACTTCTAGCTATCATCCCCCCGAAGACGGACCCGAACTTCTTTAAATCCAACGAGCCAGAATGATCCCCTCCCCTATCAGAAAGGAACCAATGAACCAATTAAAAAGTGAACTAATTAACCCGTATTTTTCTTTCAACCATCAAGGTCGCCACCTGTAAATACTGTCATAGGTGGAATGATTCACACTATTTGTAATTGTTAATATCTAACATAATACGAACCGACAAATTCAAAAAATGAATTACATAATATAGAAACTAAATTATTTCAAATACGAAATTTAAAAATTAAATCTATATTAGAGGGTAAGAAGTCTTCTTCTTTGGTATCCCTACAATCGAAAAGACAAATTTTTTTTGTTAGAGGTATGAGGTCACCGTAATTATTATAATGATTATGTCTGGCGCGACGCTTTTTTTGGCGACGTTCTATGATTTTCGTGTCATCGGAGGTATCACCAAGATCATCTTTTATATATTGGATATCATTTGCGCGAATAATAGCGCGGTATGGTTTAAAGGGGTAATGTTCATCCTTGTATTTTTGTCCAAAATTTGTTATCAAAGTACTAAGACGTTTTGATGCAACAGTTCGTTTGTCGCTGCTTGTCTTTTTAGACGTTCCATAAGCGAATTTGCGAATACTGGCCATACGTTCATCAAAATTATCGTTCATTTGAGTGAAAAACTCCATAGCATTAGTACGCCTAAGATAATGTTTGGCAGAGGTGTTATGATCTTTTATGTCCTTAATGACATTTGACCGTTCGTTAAGGTGATCTCGAGCTTTGATCTCACTGATACGATCATCATCTAAACCTAGCATATATGCGTCTCTCAAGGAAAGCTGAATTGTAGAGTCTTGTAATAAAAGCACGGCATCTATGTATTCCGATGCACCTTTACCATAGTGTTCGTCAATAAGATTCATGATATACCAGTCCTTATAAGAATTTTCAGGTGTATCATCCCGGCCATCCTTGACGGAAGAGTTATTCTCATCATCGGAGTCCTGATCCTGGTTGACACTGCGTAATGCAGAAGAAATGTGAGGAGGAAATATCCTATCATCAGGTAGATGTAGAAGAGTACAATTCTGATCATATGGGAAACGGAATAAAGGAACGGTTGGGAAGCATTTGAATAATCCCATGTTGAAATTTAAATGAGGAATCCGTTTATAGATCTTATGATTTGCATAGAAAAGGAATTTCCGTTGATTCGCCAGTTTAATCTTATGTCGGAGTTTAAGAGCCATCCCAGATTTAGGTTTATTATTGTTGAAAACACGTCTACAAGATCGGTCAAAATGAGCATTCTGCCGTGCAGCTGTACGTGGATTGGAACTTAACGTACGAGAGAAATTTTCGTAAATCTTGGTGTACATAGGACCAACAGCCTTATAAGGTGGTAAAATTGAGTCAAGGTTGTGCGCTTCATAACGCGTTGTATAAGAAATACCCAATCGATTCGAAAAGATCTTTTGCTTTGAGTTTTCGTTATATTTCCAATAAATTATGTTGGCGTGAAAACTTTTGTGATGAACGATGTTATTCTTAGTTGCTGTTACTGCCTTATCCTCTAAGGGAGTTTTTATTATTTGAGCAATGGCCGGATGATGTTGGTTACAAGCGTGTCGATTAAAATTTTTTACAAAAGGGCACGGTGTACGGCATGGTGTTGTTTTTTGATGGGGAGACTTCTTTGTAGGTAGATGGTTACAAGCTACATAGATACCAAAATGAAATCTGTATCGTTTGTAAGAGAAGTTGAAAAAGGTTTTGGTGATATTATTACTACATGTGATTTTTCTTTCACGTGATGCTATCAGATTGAGTCTATCTAACAACTTGAGTCGTATCATGTTAAAAAATTTATTTTGAATACGCCGAGAAATAACTCGTTGATGTAAAAAAAAGTGCGTGAGGCACTTCGATATTTGAAATCGATGATTAGGTAATTTGCTTGTGGAATAATACCGAATTGGGGTAGATAACATATGATGATCATTTGTGTATATCTTTAGGTGAATTTCATTGGTGTCTGGTATTTGATCGACAACCTCGAAAAAGAAACTTTTTGAACGCCTACATTCGTAGATCTTGTTATAACCTGCTTTAGATGTAGCGGTCACGTGAAATTTTTCGAAAGAGACCAAAAAAGAAAAGGTCGAAAGTTTCGGTGGAAGTAAAGGAGCTTTGACTATGATAGTCGGAAGTGTGTTATCCTGTGGTTTAATAGTCGTCTCTGAAACATTATCTTTAGCAAGTCTGCCTTCAGGAATATTTCGTCTGCTATCAGAATGTGCGTCCAACTGCGGATAAGGTTTCGAAGGTTCATATGGAGCCACGGAAGAGTTGGGTTGGTTGTAGTTTGAAGCTGACATAGTCCCTTAGTGTGGGATAAGATGAGAACTAAAAACCTTGTATAAGACCAAGGTGCCCGCTTGGGCCTCGTCCCCTTAAGCGTTTCAAATAGAAACTAAAAAAAGACTTTGCGAAATTACTGCGGAAAACTAACAAAATAAAAAAAAGGGGAAAAGAGTTTTTTTATTTAATAATTTCCTACTCAAAATTTTTCGAAAAACTCCTTTCAGGTCTCCTTTGGAAAAATTTTCACGTGATCAAATCAAACCGAACCGGTTATACGAAATTCGCCGATCAAGAAGTTACTTTTTTGAGCTTGCTGATCGAAAATCATGCACCAATGAAATTCATCTAAAAATTCACACCAAATGATTATCACATGAAATCCTCCCCGATACAATTCCACGACGAACAAATACCAAATAAGCTGCATTCTTACACATTTCTTTTGTCTACAAAGAGTCATCCCACGACGTATTCAACAAAAATAGTTTAACATGATCCGACGAAAATTATTGGATAGAATCGATCAGATATTATCACGTGGTTTGAATACCAACCAACAAACGAAATCGTCATACAAAGACTTTTTTTAATTTTTCCTACAAAAAATACCGTTTTTATTTTGACATTTATATGCCTTGTCCATATACAAATAGTCAATCCGAATTTATTCATAAACCTCATAGTTGCAACAGTGTTGCAACATACCTTCTCCTTTTATTATGTCACATCACCGACGTGCTTGCATCAATCATCAAAAACTTTTCTTCAAAGACCAATTATTCCACAATATTAAACCTACTACTACAAAGACGGACGTCATTAAAGACACTACTAAAGATTTACTAATGACAAAATCTCACACGCTAATCTTTTGCGAATCAATTCACGCTCGTGACTCCGCCTCGATTTTAAATTTAGGATACACACATATGTATCGAAAGTGACTTTCTAACTTTCGTTTCCTGCCCAGCCGAAATCCCAAAACGCGGAAAAAACAGAAAGAACGTTTTAGACGCGTCTTTAATTCATCAAAATCGACGAAGGCTCCACTCAAGTTTGAAGACCAGCTAGCTGCAGCCAAGAAATATAAATTTCTTTTTCTCAAATCACAATTTTATCAACAAGCCCATTAGACACCTCAAATATTGCAAAGCGCATACCACACCTGACGCGAACGATTATAAGTACTTGGTACCGTTCTTCGCACCTCGACCACTTCTCGGAATGTTTGGTAGTTCCGAAAAAGAAACTGATATTATTGTCTCTTCAGATTTCAGCTGAAAATTCAGCTTCATCTTCATCTTTTTCTTTTAATACTAAGACTCCTACAACAAGATCAATCGATACAGTAGTACAGTTAGATCCTATTTTAGAAGAATCTTTAATATCCATTATCCAGACCTATTACCCTACCTAATTATGAACAAAGAGCAACAAACCGAAGCAACTACTCATGGAGCGAGTGTAAAGCGGATCCGTCGACGTGAACAACAAAAACGATATTTAACACTATTAATGACGATTATCATCACAATATGAAGAAATATTCGAAATATTTGAAGAACAACAAAAATAAAGCAAATAATCAACGTCAGATAAACAAAGAAATGAATGTTTTTATTCAATTTCCTAACGCCTGCCAAGAACAAAAGTCCATTATACGTTCGAACAACATCATTCCGATACCTCGGACGATACGAAAGAAGTTGAATTAAGGCCAAAAAAAAAACGAAACGTCGATACTAATTATAATCTCAACTTTTCTCACAGTACTAACATTACGTCCCCTTCCAGACAATTTCCTCGACTCTCCGGAAGATCAACAAACGTCAAATTTTCATTTGGTTTTTAACCTCTTACCATTATATGGAGTCACCACAAATTACCCTCACCTAGTAGCTTAGCTACATCTTATAGACAATTTTATTTTCGATCAACAAACAATTTAGAATAGTGCGTATCACTCGACCTCTTGCAGTATTTACAGGTTGCGACCCGATGGGGTCGAAAGAAAAATACGGATCATTAATTTTATTTTTTGGTTAACCACGTTTAAAACTTTACTCCTAGTCCGTCTTTTCTATCGACACTTTTGTATATTTTATTTGTTAATATAATTTGCAGGGTCCCTTTTGTGGTATATATTTTTTTTATTTGATCCTTATCGGACGGGTTAGGGTTCAACTAGGTTCGTCTTAAATGCAAGTGAGGGCCTGATTTCGATCTTAGATCGTCTTTGGGTGGCAATTCTCTGTTATAGTACTTCTTTCTTTTCTTTTGAATTGTAATAGCCTCAGTAGGCAATTTCCTGCTTGATATAAAATAAATAAATAAATAAATGCGTGTGGCTCAGCAAAAAATCCCCGAGCTGGTGATCACCGCCCCGGACTATGATTATCGGTTCTAAAATACATCATATTTAATTAAATTATTAGTTTGCAGCTTTACGAATATAATTCCTAAATAACTTCTTACAAGTGCACATGTAAATTCTTATTTAGTCATTATTCAAGTTTCATGAGAAGTATTATAAAGTGTTTTAAAATTAACAAATTAAAAACAAAATGAAAATTTTGCGAAAATTTATCTGTTCAATTACAAACTGATTTTATTTATATAAAAGAAAAGAAGTATACACATGTACACATACTTAATAATCAGTGTTGAACAAATACCAATATTTAATATCCTAATTTATAATAAATAAAATACCACTTATTTGATAATAAGCTAGAAAAATGTTATAATTCGTCTAGTAAAATTTCTTCTAATTATTTTTCATTATTTGATCTATTGATATTTTGAAATTTTAATTAATTTCTTATCAAAAATAAATGATAAAAATGATGAAAATAATAAAATTTAAATGAATACTATAACTTACTCTGTAAAATCAATTGCAAGACCTTCTGTATAAGGATCGAGTAATCGAGATGTATATATAGCTTGTGGATGAGTAATTAATTTATCGTCTTCCTTATATTCTTTAAAAAGATATCTTTCCGCTTCTTTAAATTCTTCATCATTAATTCTATCAACAGGATCATTCTTTTCATCATCTAAAATGGCGCTAATTAATTTAACATTTGGTCTATTATCTGGGTTTGAATCCCAACACTTTTTCATTAAGTTAATATAGCGATTTGATTTCAACTCAGGTATTTCAGGTATTTCAGGTCTAATTCCTTTACATATATCTAATGATAATTCTATATTATGTGCACGATTTCCAAAAGGTTGTCTTCCAGCTATTATTAAATACATAACCATACCAAAACTATATACAGTATATCTGCTGCTTGAGTAAAAGGTCGTCTTCTTAATACTTCAGGAGCCATATAGGGCATAACCCCATAAATTTTTGTTTTATCTGCATTACTAGCTTCTCCACATAATCCCATGTCTGAAATATATACAGATGTAGGAATTTTAAGATCAGTAGATAAACGATAATTGCGATTATGATGTGAAATCCAACTTTGATCGTTGATTGAATATGTTTTGGCCTATTTAAATATAGCGAAATAAATTAACGTAATTAGGTAATTTATTCAATTTATAGAGAAATTTCATACCTCATTTAGAAATTCGTTAGTAATATTTTCAGAGTTATCCAAACATTTTAATGCAACTTCTTTGAAATGAAATCTTTCATATTGCCTTTTATACCTATTATAACTTAACGGACCATCTTTCCATATTGCTGAATATACTGTAGCAAAACCACCTCTACCAATTTCTTTCACATAATCAAAGCGGCAAGTAAAAAAAATTTTTTCATTTTTTCGACGTGGAATACATGCAAGTAAAAAAGAAATTGATTACAAGTTTTTTTTTTTATATTAATGAGTTTCTCTGGACGTGGAAGTCTGCCTTCTCTCTGTCTTCCCTTCTCTTCTCTTTTCTTTAGGACTTCTTTTATTTTTCGATTAAATAATCTTGAATAATTCTTTGATAATCATTTCATTTCTATCTTCCCTTCTCTTCTCTTTTCTTTGGGTCTTCTCTTTATTAAGATACCTTTTTAACATCTTATTTTAGGTACGTAGGTTGGGAGTGTGAGTTGTGTGTAGGTGGGTGGTGTGTGTATGTTTGTGTATTTCGCTCTTCTCTCCTTTTCCTTTTCCCTTTCCCTTTATCCCCTCGCTCTATTCATCTCTCGCTTCCCTCTTCCCCTTCCCCTTCCTTTCCTTTATTCCTTCGCTCTTTCCCCTTTTCTCTCTCCCTTTCCTCTTCCCCTCCCCTCTCTCTTTCTACTTTCCCTTTCCTTTTCCCTTCCTCTTCCCTCTCGCTTTTCCTTTCCTTTTCATTTCCCTTATTCCCTCGCTCTTTCTACTTTCCCCGCTCTTTCCCTTCCCCCTGATCACCTCATGTGGTGATAAGGTGACAAGTTTTTTAAAAGACTTGGCTGCTAAGTCATCAACAAATATTAACGATTTGTTCACTTTTATTAAATATATCACTATAAATTAAAAATTAATAATTATTATTTTGAATTTTTTAACTTATAAATTCGCAAATGTAATAATAACATGGTTCAAATATTATTGATTAAATTCAAATGAGACAAATGAGACAAGTCATCAAGTTTAATTATATCTGATTTTACATAATTATGCATTTTTGATTTTACATTAATACATTTAATCATGTTAATAACTAATGATTTTAAATTATTATTCAAGGCTATTGAGATAATAATGTCAATTAAATTGAAGTTGATGATAACCTAGAATTTATTCTTTGATCATCCCTTTTAATTTCTATTTCTACCCTCATTAAATAAATTTTATCATCACATTATATACTAGTACCCATGCAAACTCTCCTGACCTCTCAAGTTTACTATAGAAAAATACTTATTTCGTTATTATATAAATATTTATATAGTGATTTTATTACTGGAAGAATTTTATAATAAATAAAAAAATTTTAATCTGTATTTTACTTTCACGAGATTAATAAACGTAACGACTGTTTCATTATATTAAATATTTAATTCTAATCTTCAAAGCTATGGCAATAATAACAATTTCTTTTTTCAATAGTATAATTGGAGTTAAACATGTGAAATGAGTGGTATTCAGCAAATTCCAAAGATGTCTTCTGATTTGGTTTATCTATTGCTTTGACCTGATGTGACTAAAATTAATTTTCAATTACAGTCAACCCTTTATATAACGATATGTCGGGACATATATAAAATTTTTAGAAAATATCGTTATATCTAAGTTATACAGATATTTATATGTCCTCACATATAGTGGGAAAATAAAATTTTATCGGTATATCAAGTTTTTAATAGTATATCGGTATATCGAATATCGGTATATCGAGGATAGACCTGTCTCTTATACACATCTAGATGTGTATAAGAGACAGGTATATCGGTATATCGAATATCGGTATATCGAGGATAGACTGTAATATGAATACTAAGACCCAACATGATATACGTGTTAGATCAATCTTTTTTATTTATCATTATTACATAGCCAAAGCGTTATGATTTTAGAGAAAAATGGCATTGAGCCCAAATCGTTATTTTTAATTGTTACCATTATAATTAGCGATGGGATTCCCATGGAATTTGCAGGAATTTATCGGGATCTGTGCAAATTTTACATTAGTAATACTGTACAAATCTCATAAAATTCCGCGTAACGGTTAATTAGATTAATGCGGTAAAGTAAATATTTTATAATATCAATATCATCTAAAATACTGTATGTTAGTAAGAATTACAATTATTAAGATAAAAAATGACAATATTCTACCTGCTTTCATAAGCTAAACAAAAAAAATAAATAAATTGCTATAATACCGTATATGATTATAATAGGTTTGACATATAATTTGACCTTTAATTACATATTATTATAATCATTCTATAAGCCTAGAACTCATGGTATTTCTTTTAGAAATTTGATAAGAAGTTGATCTTCTGAAAGGTATCCATTTTTTTCTACCTCATCATCATCATAACTGATCTCTGCAAATGATTTATTATTTTCTTTTATTTGTGTAATATAATATTTGTACTTTTCTAAAAACTTCTCTGGTCGTGCAGTTAAAATAAATTCTCTATAGTAGCATACACTTAACATGATGGATTTATCATTTAAACCAAGATTTGAATCGCACGAGACAGTAATAATGTACACATAATCGTAATCACTATGGAACATTTCTTCCAAGGGTGCAATAGGAACAAGACGTGGATTTACGAAAAAATTACTCGAATAGAGGCCCTCAATTAATCTAGTTGCAAGGAGGCCGGTATCAGGATAAGTTGAAAGATTGTGTGTAAATTCATAGAGAAAGTTAGCCAACCATTCACCCAAACCACCTTTGACATATCCATCAAAGTGTTGATAAATACAAACATAATATTCATAAAAGTATTGACTTCCAGCTGGCTCACCCATCACACTCATTTCTTTTCTTTTAGGTTTACGTGTACGAATAAGTATAACACCACGTGTTCCCATTTTGTAACGTTTAACGATATTTTATTATATTTTTTATATTTTCAAGAAAAAAAAAAAAAATCTTGGTGGCTTATGTCCTCGTATTTACAGTATGTCATTGATAATATGATAAACTTGATAAACTTCCATATGAAGTCACGTTAAGTCACGTTAGTAATAGTTTATCATGATGATGCAATAAAAAAATTTTATGCACGGTAATTTATCACACTGTAATGGTAATAAAAATCATAACATTAATGGATAAAAATAGAGTTTCAAGTTATACTTTAATAATAGAAGTTATTGTCCCTTTGCATTCTTCATCAGAGCCATTCTCCTTTCATTTTCTTTGTACCTTCACTCTCTTTGGGGATTTTTTAATCTAAATTTCAGTTTATCATAGATATCCTTTTACTCAATAAAGTCAAAATCCTTTGATGTATACAAAATATTACTTCATTTCTATTTGTATATGGGTAATTATAACCAATAAACAACTTTAATGCTTTTATTCATCTTAAGTCATATGAAGAATTATATGTGCATTTCATTTCTTCAAATTTGTGAAGCCTCTAATTAAGTAAATTGGTGGATGCGAGTAGGATCATGTTTCATAATAAGGTTTGTGATGGCTAGTTCCTCATGTTCTTTTCTTTATTAGATTCGGATTTGACGATGTTTGAATTTAATGTATATATTTGAGGATGTTGAAGCAAATATATTTGAAGACGCCGATGCATCCTTATTTGTCATCCGATTTTTCATTATAATCTGTGTTTTGACATTTTCTTAAATTATGGATTTACTAGAAGCTAGAATGGATTTTCAATAGAAGGTATAGGTTTTCTGAGTTGATAAGAAATTTATAAAAAATAAAATAAAAATAATTAAAGAAGAATATATTTCATGAATATGATTCTTTTTGTAGATTTTGAGATATTCCATATATTTTATTATTAAATTATCGATATACAGTATATAGATTATGAACATTGAATATTTTCGGTAATTACAATATAAGTAAGATATTCAAAATGGTAAATGTTAAAAAGTAAAGCGGTTCATAAGACATTATAAATGATAATATTATTAATACAAAAATAATTAAATATTAAACGTATATTAACGAATGAAAGTGTAGACAATTGTGGAATAATTGTTTTATCGGGGTTAGTCAATTTTGAACGACCTAATTTCGATACTTTCACCAGTTTACTTTTTCTTTACCTTATATTTAGCGAAATTATTTATTCAGTTTTAAGTAGGTCAGAATTTGGACCAGATTTAAGAATGTCTTAAAATTATTATTGTAAAAACAAAGCGAAGCTGAATTTGAAATATAAAATATAAATTTTCCTATACGCAGTAAAATAGTATTAAACGATTTCTTTTATTTAACATAGTAATTTAATAAATTATCGGTATTCATATTGAAAACTTGATAATAATTACAAGTATATCAAAGACTTTATTTGTAAAAACTGGAAATTTCTTTTATTGTAAAAATGCAAATAAAATATATTGTAACTTTTAATCGTACAATTATATCATGATGTAAATTATTACCTATTTAACGTTAATTTACTGTATCACATTGAATGTTATTGTTTAAATTTTTTTTACGCCAGAAAGATCGTCCAATTAATTCCGCAGAATTTGCAGAATTTAAAACTTGCGTCACAACTTTGAAGATCACAATTTCATACAATAACAAATGTTATTGTACTTGGAGTTATAAACCCGAACTTAATTATTAATCCACGACAAGCCCAATCCAAACTAACAATCAACGTTACAAACCACTATGAGGGTTTCCGTTACAAACTAACCATATACGAAAATAAGAATAAAATCCTTACTGGATATTACAGTACTGTGCTACCGTATGTCTTACTTATTTTACGCCATTCAAAATTAACCAAATTAATATTTTATTAAGTTTCTTTTTTAGTCCATATACAAAATTTTTTTTATTATCCGAGAAATTTTATTTCTTTATAAGTAAAAAAAAGATAATAATATTCCTACTTAATTTATCAGTCAAATTCGGACCCTGTTTGCTTAATTCTGGTCCGTAGTGTCACCCGAGGAAATTGACCAATCATACATTAAAAAGAGTTGCTAGGGTTGCTAGGGCCTGGGGCTATCATCAAAATATCTTTACGTAAGTTGAAATTTATTTGTCATTGTAGTAAATTGAAACTAGTCAAGAACAATATGTGAGAGACTATAAAAAAAATTAATATTATAAAGTATTGTTTAAGATACATAATTTCAATATTTAAACAGTTTAACGTAATAAAAAAAATTTTTTTTTTTCATTCATTTGGCTAATTTTGTTTACATTGAATAAAACGGAAATTAATTGAAAGTTCATTTTTTAGTGTTTCAGTCTATCGACGAAACATTACCTAAAATTTTTGTAACATTTTTTAACCTTCATGTATAAAAAAAAAATTTGTTTTAAATAATTTAATTAATGTTTCAAACTGTATTTATAGAATATTCATGATTTCATAAAAAATTAATAATAACATTAAAGGGACGGTGTATCATTAAATTAAGATATAATTAGTTAAAATGATTATTTAACAATAACAGATAACAGGTTATTAAATTAAATAATAGCTTTGCTTGTCGATCATATATCGTAGTCGGGTACAATGGATATAATATTTAGAGTTCATATTTTTTTTTGCATTGAAACCTAAAATGGGAGACAATAATAATACAAGGATTTTCGGCTTTTCGGTTATAACATTTTTCATAATAGTTCATTTACCTACAATAAAAACAAACAAAGACGACAAATAAAAAACTAGGGGTTTTTTTTTTTTTGTTACCATTTTTGGGAATAACGTGAAAATTTTTTATAAAAGAGCCTTAAAAAAAATTGATGATTACCATAAAAAAAAAATCATTATACTGCGTACAAAGTAAAAAATCAAATAATAAAATATTATCATTGAAAAAAAAAATTTTTCATCTCTTTTAATACTGCATACAAGTAAAAAACCAAATAATAAAAATATTATCATCAAAAAAAAAAATAATTTTTTTTAAAAAAAAATCTATATTGAAAGGATGGCAATCGAAACTAGTGAACTCTTTGATACAGAAATTCTGGTTGGAAAAGGACCAAATTCTAAAATCTTTCGCTTACATTCTTATATATTAAAAGCTTTCTCCCCTTATTTTCGTACCGCATTATCAATAAAAAAAGATAATAATAATAATATTATTAAACTTAAAAAACCAAATATTTCCATTGAAATTTTCGATATTATTATCAAGTAAGTATTTTTATGATGTTTTCATTATATTTTATAAATTATATACTCACATATAACTTTTTTAAGATATTTATATTGCGGTAAACTTATCGCTACGAACGATGTAAAGACAAACGTTGACATTTTGATTGCGGCTGATGAATTACGTATCAAAAATTTATGTTCTCATATTGAAGAATATCTTCTTAGTAACAAAGAATTATTAAAAAAAAATTATATTTTCATTCGGAATTTTTCTTTCAAGTACGCTAAATATACAAAATTATCTCAATTTTGTAAGGATGCTTTTCAAAAAGATCCTTCATTAATTTTTAATTCAAAAGATTTCACTAAAATCAAACGAGAAATTCTTTTAGATATTCTTATTAAAAACAATCATAATTTAAAATCTATTGAAATTTATGATAAAATTATGGAATGGATTATTACTCAATCTAATGAATTATCATCTGATAATATAAAATTATTTATTCAACAATTTATTCCATATATTAATTTTAAAGAGATTGAACCTACTGATTTTTTGAAAAAAATTAAACCATTAAGAAATATTTTTGATGATAAAATTTATTCTAAAATATTAGAATATTATTCTTTTAATAATATGAATGGAATTTCTAAAATTATTAATTTTGATTCATTATTATTACTTTCAAAAATAATTGAAATAGCAGAAACAAATAATTGTTCAACAAATAATATAAATTTATATAATTTTAAATTACTTATTCGTGGATCTCAAAATGGTTTTAATTATAAAACTTTTCATGAATCTTGTGATAATAAAGGTCCAACAATTACTATTGCAAAAATTAAGGGTTCTGATGAATTTATTGGAGGTTATAATCCAAATAATTGGGGTTCTTCTAATAATTGGACAAAAAAAAGTTTTATTTTTTCTTTAAATCAAAATAATTTAATAAATTCTATTATTAGTAAAGAAATTCATAATGATTCAAAAAAATCTAATTATATTGGTTCTTGTGGTCCAGAATTTGGTTCAGATTTAATATTATTACTTTCTAATAATGAGAATAATAACAAAGGAAGATGTTGTAGAAATAATTATGAAAAAAGAATAAGGAATAACGATGAAACCGATTTCGAGATAGAAGAATATGAAGTTTTTCGTGTTTATAAAAACTTTTATTAAAGAATTTATACGAAGATATTAAAAGAATAGTAATAATAGAAACATTCAATATTAAATAAATAATTTTCTCCTTTAATTTAATTCTTATTTTATATTAGAAACATTTGAAATTTTTGTACAATTTCCGTTTTATGTATTACATTTATTATATTGAATCAATAAATATACTAACTGCTAAATATGCATTTAAATACTGAGACTTCATTTATTTCAAAAAATGGTCATCCAACGTACGAACTGGCCCGAGTTTAGGAGTTATGCACTTGCACGTGATATTGTTAACGCCAGCTCGTACTTTAATATCATACACCCTCACTGTACATTAAGGAACCCCTATCTCAGTCCCGTTTTCTTTTTGTGTAACACAAGAAATATCCAACTTTTTGACCTATATATAAAATTTTGGGTTTTTTAGGTCGAGCGTGTTTCACTTATATGGTTTATTTTACATATGACCTAAAAATGTTGAGGCGCTAGTTAATATTAATAATATTAATGTGTAGTTGCTTGATAGATGACAGCACAAACTTGCTTGATTGCACAAGTACAGAGCTAATATAAAATATTATTTATCAACTTCAATTAAAAAGGGATAGAATTAATGATATAAGTTGTTTCAGAAAATCTAGCATTGATGATACAACCTAAATAAATGAATTTTATGTCAGTTGCTATTAAAATTAATAAATATTTACATATCAACTAGGTAACGGGAGCCGTTGTAATGTCCGAAGAACTCGTTTAACTTATCAAATAAAAATGTCATATAACACTGTAATTTTATAGATAACTTTTTTTCGCAAATAATTTAACAATCTTGAGGAAAAAAGCTTAATTTATTACTAAAATTTTAAGAATATTAATCACGTGTCATATGCGTCACCGAAATCTGATCACGTGATAATAATCAATACATCTTATTGGTTAATCACGCATGCGGACATACATACCTTGCATTACAATGTATCTAACTGAAGATGTCCGAAGCGAGGACGAATGAATATTAAAATATTTATGAGCATTGGTGTATATGTAATTTTTATTGGATATTCATAAAATAATAGTTATTATACATATATTTAATAATGTTTAATTCTTTTACTTTATTGTAAAAACTGTAAAGGTACATAATATAAATATTCCTATATAATAACTGATAAAATATAATAACTAATAAATATAATAACTGGTAAATATAATAACTGTTAAATATAATAACTGTTAAATTTAATAATTGATAAATAATTCAACAAATAAAGAAAAACAACAGGATTATTAATCTTTAATTGCAAGTTCCAAACCCTCAGTCTCATCTTGATAGAAAATTTCAGTAAGTTTTCGACTTGTATAATATGCTTGTGGATGAGATTGCATAGTAGAAGTATTTGCTTGTTCTTGTGCTAAAGCTTTGTTTACTTCTAATTGATTATTAGAAGTATTTGCTTGTTCTTGTGCTAAAGCTTCATTTGCTTCTACAAATCCTAATATATCACTTTCTAATTGATTATAATTAGTATTACTAAATCTATATTGATAATTTCCATCACTGTTTATTTCATAATATTTATTAATACATCTATTCCATTCAGATATAATATGTTCAAGCATTGTTATAGTTGGTCTATTGGAAGGATTTGAATCCCAGCATTTTTCCATTAAGTCTATAAAACATTTTGGAGTATTTTTTACAATTACAGGACGTTTTCCTTCACAAATATTCAAGATCAGATCTTGATTATGTGCTTCATGATTAAATGGAGGAATGCCTGATGTAAATTCCCACATTATCATTGAAAAACTATAAATATCACTTGCTGGAGTATAGGGTTTATTTCTTAATATTTGAGGATCCATATAAGGTATAACTCCATATACTTCATTATTATCGGAATCTTGAAAATCACTTATAGGTTTACATAATCCTAAATCAATAATAAATATTTCATTGTGATTATCTGAAATTAAAATGTTACCATCATGAAAATCACCATGAGTCAAATTTGATTCATGAATTACTTTAAGTCCCAATATAATTTTTTCCAATAATTGTAACTTATCTTGCCACTTAAGTTTAATTATATCAGATAAACATTTTCTCAAACTTCCTTTTTTTGCACAACTCATCACTATTATATAATTTAAATTATTTGGATCTTGGGTAAATCCAAAAAATTGAATAAATTTTGAAAATGATTTTTTTTGACAATTATAATGATATTTCCACTACAAAAACAATAAAATAATTATTAAATTTTTGCAAAAGCCTTCTATTAAAAAATATAAACACTATACCTCATTCAAAAATTTACTATCTAAACTTGATGAATTATTAAGTATTTTAAGAACAACATCATAATCTGTTTGTCTATTCCATTGTTGTTCATCAGAATTCCAACTAAAAATAGGTCCATCTGACCAGATAGCTTTATGAATTTCACTAAATCCTCCTTTATCATAATAATCAATACTTGACAATTTATTATAAGGTATCCATTCTAAAATTTCATAACTATTTTTAGCATTAAGTTGTGCTTCTTGAATAAATTTATTAATAAATTCATTTTTACTAGTCCACTTTGAAAAATCTTGTTGAAATCGTTTGGTATTACATTGTTGACACCACTGGTATTCAATATATGGTTGTTTGCATTCATTACATAATTCAACTTCATTTTCAAAACTAACTTAATTACTTTCTGCTATTTTTTGATGCCAATAAAAAGCTTTTTCTAAATTCTTTTCTGTTCCATTTCCATTTTCATATTTACTTGCTAAACTAAGCATTGCTTCTTTATCACCATTTTCTGCTGCTTTTTGATACCAATAAAAGGCTTTTTCTAAATTCTTTTCTGTACCTTCTCCATTTTCATAACATACAGCTAAATAAAACATTGCTTTAATATGATCTTTTTCTACTGCTTTTTGGCACCAATGAAAGGCTTTTTCTAAATTCTTTTCTGTTCCATTTTTATAATATTTGATGAATAAACTATACATTGCATCTTTATCACCATTTTCTGCTGCTTTTTGATGCCAATAAAAGGCTTTTTCTAAATTCTTTTCTGTTCCTCTTCCATCTGCATAACATCCAGCTAAGTAAGTCATTGCCTTAATATGATCTTTTTCTGCTGCTTTCTGATACCAATAAAAGATGTTTTCTGAATTTTTTTCTGTTTCCTCTTCATTATAATAACTTTCAGCTAAATTTAACATTGCATTAATATAATCTTTTTCTGCTGCTTTTTGATACCAGTAATAGGCTTTTTCTAAATTTTGTTCTGTTCCTTCTCCATATCTATATTTATTTGCCAAATTAAATATTGCTTTAATATACCCCTTTTCTGCTGCCTTTTGATACCAATAAAAGGCTTTTTCTAAATTTATTTCTGTTTCTACTCCTTTATTGTAACATATGGCTAAATTATACATTGCTTCTTCATCACCATTTTCTGCCGCTTTTTGATACCAATGAAAGGCTCTTTCTAAATTCTTTGCTGTTCCTTTTCCATCTTCATAATATATGGCTAGATTACACATTGCTTTTATATAACCATTTTTTGCTGCTTTTTGATACCAATAAAAAGCTTTTTCTAAATTCTTTTCTGTACCTTCTCCATATTCATAAATTGCAGCTAAATTATATATTGCTTCTTCATTACCATTTTCTGCTGCTTTTTGATACCAATAAAAGGCTTTTTCTAAATTCTTTTCTGTTCCTTTTCCACTATTATAAAATATGGCCAGATTACACATTGCTTCTATATTACCATTTTCTGCTGCTTTTTGATACCAATAAAAGGCTTTTTCTAAATTCTTTTCTGTTCCTTCTCCATTATTATAATAAACTGCTAAATTATGCATTGCTTCTTTATTACCATTTTCTGCCGCCTTTTGGCACCAATAGGAGGCTTTTTCTAAATCCTTTTCTGTTCCTTCTCCTGTATTATAATATCTGGCTAATTGAAACATTGCTTCTTCATAACCACTCTCTGCCGCTTTTTGATACAAATAAAAGGCCTTTTCTAAATTCTTTTCTATTCCTTTTCCATTTTCATAACATGCAGCTAAATTATAAATTGCTATAATATGATCATTTTCTGCTGCTTTTTGATACCAATGAAAGGCTTTTTCTAAATTCTTTTCTGTTCCTTCTCCATTTTTATAAAATTTAGCTAAATTAAACATTGCTTCTTTAACACCACTCTCTGCTGCTTTTTGATACCAATAAAAGGCTTTTTCTAAATTCTTTTCTATTCCTATTCCATTTTGATATGATGCAGCCAAATTAAATATTGCTATAATATGATTACTTTCTGCTGCTTTTTGGCACCAGTAAAAGGCTTTTTCTAAATTCTTTTCTGTTCCTTTTCCACCTTTATAACATATGGCTAAATCAAACATTGCTCTTTTATCACCTTTTTCTGCTGCCTTTTGATACCAATAGAAAGCTTTTTCTAAATTCTTTTCTGTTCCTTCTCCATTTGTATAACATATGGCTAATTCAAATATTGCTTCTTTAATACCATTTTCTGCTGCTTTTTGATACCAATAAAAGGCTTTTTCTAAATTCTTTTCTGTTCCTTTTCCATTACTATAACATACGGCTAAATAATATATTGCTATAATATGATCATTTTCTGCTGCTTTTTGATACCAATAAAAGGCTTTTTCTAAATTTTTTTCTGTTCCTTTTCCATTTTTATAACATTCAGCTAAATTAAACATTGCTTCTTTAAACCCATTTTCTACTGCTTTTTGATACCAATAAAAGGCTTTTTCTAAATTCTTTTCTGTTCCTTTTCCATTTTCATAAAATATAGCTAAGGTATACATTGCCATAATGTCATCTTTTTCCGCTGCTTTTTGACACCAATAAAAGGCTTTTTCTAAATTCATTTCTGTTCCTTTTCCATTATAATACCTACTGGCTAAATTAAGCATTGCTTCTACACAATTTTCTGCTGCTTTCTGACACCAATAAAAGGCTTTTTCTAAATTCATTTCTGTTCCTTTTCCATTTTCATAAAACAAAGCTAAATAATACATTGCTTTTTCATGACCATTTTCTGCTGATTTTTGATACCAATAAAAGGCTTTTTCGAAATTCTTTTCTGTTCCTTTTCCATCATTATAAAATGCAGCTAAGTTATTCATTGCTTCTTTATCACCACTTTCTGCTGCTTTTTGATACCAATAAAAGGCTTTTTCTAAATCCTTTTCTGTTCCTTCCCCATTATTATAACATATGGCTAAATTATTCATTGCTTCTTTAATATCATTTTCTGCTGCTTTATGAAACCAATAAAAGGATTTTTCTAAATTATTTTCTGTTCTTTTACTATTTTTATAACATATTGCTAAGTGAAACATTTCATTGGCATTTCCACTTTTTGCTAAATTTTCAAAAGTATTAATACATTCTTTACACAATAATTCTTCATCAGTAAAGGGTTTATCGCAATATTTACAATTCTTGGTATTTACTGTATCAGTATCTTTATCTGAGGTGGTTTCCATTTGGTTATTTTTGAAATTTATTATTATGTTGTAAAAAAGTTTTAATTTTATTTCAAATAAAGTTTTTTTTTATATCGATAATATCGATATGAATGAGATACTAAAAATGGAATGTTTTAACCAAAAAATATTTCAGCCAAATGATCATCATAGCTTTATTGAGTTTAGTATGGATTGCCAGGTTGGACAGAAGTTTAAAGGTGAAGTACATATTGTTTAACATTAAACACCATATTGTTTGAATTTGAAGTACAAAGCATTTGGCGTTAAATATAAACTATTTGGCATTAAATGCAAAGTGTTTATCATTAAATGCAAATATTTCGGATTTTAAAAATAATTTTCCTAAAAAGGAAATATACTTACTTTTGATAAAAGAAAATTTCTTTTATAGAATTACTTTCGTATTCAATAAAATCTTATCCGTTGGCAGTATCACCATCAAAAAATGTGATTTTTGGGCATGTGAACGGCGCAGTTATGGCAACTACAGATCTACTAATTATATTTCGATATTATTCATTAAAAAACTCCCGTAATTTTTGGTACAATTTTTTTTTTTGAAAATTTTTAACCCGTCTTGAGTATAGACAAACTTCACCCTTTTATACCAAAAACACTTGAAAGAGTTTTACAGACACAACTTTTATTATATTTTATCGAACAAAAATTTTTATAGCTTTTTTGCCATATTTTATTTCGTTTAATTTTGAAAAATTTTAGGTATCAATTTTATAACTTCCGACTGGTTAAGGCACTTTTTCTTCAACCAACGCTCGATCGGTCTCCTTAAACCTACTATATACAACCTATTTCTTACGCAAAAGTATCTTAATGTATTGTGATAACGGAGCCAGAACCATATGCCGACCAAGCCGTTTTGCGGCTTTACAAACATATTCGTCTTTTTTTACGTACTGTAAATTTTTTTCGCCTAACGAAGAGTCGATACTAGGGGCGCTGGTGTCCTGTACTTCAAAAAAGCAAATTATTGCCTTTTTACGTCTTAACGCAGATTCACTATAACCAATGGAAAACGAATTTCACATTTTTCCATATATATATTTTATTTTTATTTTTATGTAACAGAAAAAATATTCCATATATATATAGATTAGCAAAAGCCAAATTCGGGCCGTAACCGCGATCACGTGATACAATTTTCGGCACAAATTTCGGGATCGGCGCTAACCGCAGCAAATAAATCACGTATAGACCGGGGCGGATGATTAAAGTAGGGGCATGGCTGGGCTTCATCGCTGAAATTTCGGCGATGGGCAGAGAATATGGCGTGCGAGGTAAGTGCTTAGATCCGGATTGATCCGTTGATTAGCATCACAACATTTTTCTATTATTTTTGTCAAACTATAAATTTTGTCAGATTTAAAAAAATTATTCTTCTATAATTTTATTAATTTTGGCCAAACTTATAGCTCCAACTGATGCCAAACCGTAGTAAACCGCGGATTGATCCGTTGAAAACCCATCCGGATCGAAGCACTAGTGCGAGGTTAGGCTGTGTTACTGAAATGTATATTCACGACATTAGAAATTTTTTGTTTTTTATTTGTAAGGTGTTTGTAATTTTTGTTAGCTCTCAAGGTAGTTAGATGGAGCAATTATTTTAGTTGAGTCTTCGGTAGGTTAGTTTTTAGTATAGAAATGCGTTATAGGTAGAAGGTATTCTTTTCTTTATTGTTTGTATGTTTGTTATGTAGCAGGTAATGGTGTTACAACTTCGTCGTATGGGACGAAGGATAGGTAAAGTGGGCGGCACATGGTATGCGCCAAACGCAGTGGTTTGTTTATTGACTATTTTATGCTCTCTATCATATGAATAAATAAAGATATTCCTTTTACCTAAAAAAAAAAAAAAAAAAAANTTGTATAAATAGCTTCTCTTTATTTATTATTTTAATTTTATTGGAGATTCATTAATTCATTCTTCTATTTAATTTCAAAAAGTTTTACATAATTTAAAAAAAAAAAAAAAAAAATTTAACTTTACGATCAGCACATTTTTATCAGCCATCTTTTATCACGACCATGCTTTCCCGAAAAGTATAAGAGACCAATACTTTAAAAGATTACACCAACTACTTAAGGATAAATTAGACACCCTCACAAAGAAAATGCGCTTCTCATATAAGAAACACGTGATATACGATTTACTTCGAATCTTTTTTCCGTTGCCGAGGTTGTAATAATTCCGCAACTTTCACTATGTCTAAAAACAGATGGAGATGTGGCCAACATCTATCAGAAATCAACAAAACCCATCGCAAAAACGTCATGCCACGCGACAAAAAATTTTATCAACAACAAATAGAAAATCAGAAAATTCGGAAAGAAATTCATAGTATGAGACTTGGCGTGAATTACACTATGGTGATTCATCGTTTCAAAATTGGAAAAAACCATAATGATGATCCCAAGAAAAAATCCAATAAAGCACGTGCGCAAAGGCACACAGACAATTTCTTACGTTATTATAAGGAATATAAAAGTCTCAAATTTGACGTGGTTCGTACTCGGAAACAAGTTACCCAACCGATATAGATAACATTTCCTTATCCAACAATTCAACTCGACATAGTAATATTCCGATTCAAAAGACGTGTTTGAAACGGATTCAACATTTACCACTGAAATTTCATTTTCATTACGTTAGTCCACTATCTGATCATAAGAAACTCATGCGCAAGAAGCGTCGTAACTTTAAAAAGAATAAAAAGAAGCGTTTAAAGAAACGCCAAGAACGTCTTCAACGTATCCGGGAAAAAGAACTGAAAAAGAGGTACTCAATTCGGATAAGGTTCCGGTTCTCACTCTAGCAAGAAAAATTAGAAGCTAAAGGGTAGCTGCTTCTATTTTCGGCCTGTTAGTAGAATGCATACATACCCACTCCGCCTTCACCCAAGAATGACCCTTTGATGAACCGATGATGATAGAAGACCTTACCTTCAGTATTACAAATTTTCCCAGTCCGACAAGACAGGAACGGTCCTAAATCAACCGGGATGTATATCTACAACGTCAGAAAAAGTTACAGCTTTCTTCAACAACACCATCCGCCAGTGATGTATCAAGCTCGTCTTCGCCCAATATTACTGCTAAGTTCCTCCGACTCCACAATCACCGGGGAATTTCGTTTAACAATGTTTTTCTTTTTCTTTTCCCAGCGATAGATTGGTACTGCGACTATGTCACTGATACCAGGCCTTTTCGAAAGGTGAGTCCTGTATGGAATGTATATTGCTAGTTGAATGTGTTTACGTAGGTAGTATCATATATTTATTATCTCTGTAATTATGTATCTTCTAAGCAGTTTACTTGCCTTTCTTGAAATGAAATGAAATAAAATAAAATAAAATAAAATAAAATAAAGCTATTATTCAAGCTTTCTTTTCGCGTCTACATTATTATGATTAATTTTACAACAAACTTTGGCCAAATTCCATAATTCTAGTCTTTCTAGCAAAATTTTTAGCAGAAAAAATTGATACATTTTTAATTTAAGCTAAATTTGAAAATAATGCTGTTCCAATAATTCTAACTATTTTTGTGGAAAAAAAAATCAAAAGAGAAACTAAAGCTTTAGAGTTTAATTTATAATTTGTACTATATTTTATATGTACACCAAATGCTAAAATATTTGATTTATTGATTTTAACCAATTAAAGGAACTCAAAATTGGAAAGAAAATTTAATTACTTGCCATCCATTGATTGTAGGTAGATAAAATTTGACTTTTTAGAATTTAAATGATACATTTTGACTAATTTAAATGAATTAACAATAAAAACTAAGCTGAACCTTAAAATATTAATATTAATATATATATATTTATTTAATTATACTATACGGAAATTACACAGAAATTTTTAGATGGGTTATTCTTATAATTAATAGTTTAAAGAGTTATTATGGTATTTTACTCTACAATTGATGAAAAATTAGGAAGTCTTATAAACATTACATACTTATTTAAAATATAGAAATATTCGACTACAGTAGCATGCTTTTTATTAATTTACAATATATTATTAAAGGGATTGCAAGTAAAGGTATCAGCAGATGGCAATATTAATATATCTCAAATAGTTTTATTTAAAATTAATTTTCAAAGGGATAAACATAAACGTAAGTATTATTACCATTTTTGAATTAGCGTGATCACTGATCAAACGATTTTTTGATCAATTATTCAAAGAAAAATACTAAAAATACGAGGAAAGAACTTAAAACAACTGAACATAAGAAAAGATAAAAATTTATTGAAATACTAAACCCGATAGTTAATAATATAAATTTGTTTCGTATAATTCTTACAAAGTAAATTAATAAGAATAATAAAATTGTATAACATTTTTATCATTAGCATGTAAAAAATATTCCTTTAAAAAAATGATCTTCCCAATATTTAAGCACTAAAATATTTTTGAATCTTACAAAGTACAAACTAATAACAAGATTATTTAATTACTAAAGAAGTTAAAAATCTTTTTTTAAAGTTAAAATTTGGTATTAAAAAATGTAAATTCACAAAAAAGTTCATACAAAAAAAAATAATAATAAGAATAACTAAAAGAAGTAAATCCTTTCATTCCAATTGATATATTTTACAATGGCAAAGTCTTTAAAATAAAATTATATAATGAAACTTACGTTGGAATCGTTTTACTAGTACGGCACTTTTTTTTTTATTTGATCGACAAATCACCTGACACACTAACTCGAAAACGGGCGATAATAAAAAAAAAGTTTTTTTTTATTATCAAAATATTTTATAAATTAACTTTTCAATCATAAAGCATTGTGAATTATGAGGTAGAAAATTAGATTGTATAAATTTATAAATTTTTTTAATGGAATATTTTAAAAAAATTCCTCTCACAATAAATGGAATTATTTAATTCGCGTATAATACCAAATAGACCTGTTGTATATCCATAATCACACATTTCCATAAGAAAATTTTTTTTCTTTAGTATTTTTTCGAAAAAGCGAGGTGTTATGTTATCTCTGTATTCTTTAGATGTTAATATTTTTTGAATCCTAATTAAATGCAATTCAAGATTTTAATAAAGACAAAGAAATTCCCGAATTTAATATCATATAAATTAATGATAATAATAATCTTTATTAATAAACAATACTTTCCCTATAAAAAATTTTTTTTGGATGTATTCCGATTTTTATCTGGTTTATGTATTCCGAAAATTTTCCAATTTTTATTATCCGATTTTACTACGGAAAGTGATCATTTTTCGGAATGATAATTACAGATTTTACCCGAAATTGCTCGGTAAATTTTATGAATGTAACCGGAATATTGTCAGATGTTTTACAATATATATTATCTGAAAGTACTCAGAAAAAAAATTTATTGAATATTACAGATTACAAGTACTTTTTATTTATATTTATATTTTCTAGATATTATCTGAAAGTACTTATTTATGAGTATATGAATAATAATATTCTATCTTTTTGCTTTCTTTGATTTTTGCGAGTAGCAATTTGGTTATTAGTTGTTTTTTTCTTTTGTTGAACTTGATCTCGTCATTATAGTTGAACTTTTATTGCCTCCTATATTTATTAAATTATAAATTGTAATATTATAAATATTATAAACACTAACAAAAAATAAATTTACCGGAATTTCTTGAATCCTCTTGTATTTGTGAAGTTACTAATTGAACATCAGCTCTTCTTTCAGTAAGAATTACATTTGAAGATGCTTCAATAATTATTTAGAAGGAATTGATGCAGATTTCTCCTTAATAACTTCGGGTGAGGACAATTGGACATTAATATCAATACTTGATGATGATTTATCAGGAATTGGTGCTCATGAATTTGGCCTTGTTTTCTTGAGTTTTAGATTAGGGGAGTGATATTTTTTCGTTTGGAAGGTGGATCAATACCTTGTAAATGAGCTTCTTTAACTTTTCTCTTGTGTTCAGTTTCAGCTATAAAATTTATATTAATATCAGATAAAATTGTACATAATAATAACGTACTAAATAATTACCCTAAGTTCCAATGATATCTTCAGTCATTTTTTGCAAAACAAAGTCAATAGGAAATGTTGGAAAATCGGTTTTAAACTAAATAACAGTTTAGAAAGTTAGTTAGGTTTAAGAATATGGATGATATAAATATATAACTTACATTATTAATGACATTTTGAATTTTACCCAAAGTTTGTTCTGATGCATATTTTCCTTTTTCACAAATAGCACTTAGCTTCAGTTATCACAAAGACTTCTCAAAATGTAAAATTAATACTTGCCCGATAAGTCCAATATGTATCATATGATAAATAGAGAAAATCTTTCCAGTCCTCTTTTGGTCACATAATTTTTTCCATTTTTTCATTCTTCTTTGGTAATAGGATTTTGTATTAAACCACATGGAAACTAACAATTACTGTATTATTAATATCACTAATATAATTTTATCACTAATCTTATATTTGAAACATTTTTTGTATTTAATTATAATGTCTGCTGTAGGAGTATTTGATGGTATAACAGTAGAAATAGGCGTTGGAGTTGGCGATCATCATATCATAGCAGCTTATTCTAAATTTGTTATAATATCTAAATAAAAGTAATGTTATGGTAAATTCAGAATATTTAAAAATTTCAATAAATCTTTATCCTCGAACTACTACTCAAATAATATTGCTTACTGTTATAATTTTATATTTACCGTTAATATGTTAATTTTTTTATTTTTTTGAATATTTTATAAATATTATTGTAGTAGTAATATTAAAAAAAAATAATAAGAATTAAGTTCTAAAAAGCAAAGATACGCTTTTATTTATACTTTTATACTTCAATGATCATTTATTGCGAGCTTATTTTTTTTATAGATTAAAACTAAACGCGTTTTTTAAACTTATATACATGTTTTAAACGCGTCCACTTATATTGATAAACTTTTTAATTTAACTAATTTATTAAGTGATCTACATGAAATTGTTTTCCGGAGTATTTTCAATTTAAATATAAAACTGGATTATTTTCAGAATATTTCCAGAAATTTTCATTTATGTTAAATTCCTAAAATTTGACTAAAACAACATTTGCAATATAATCGGAATATTTTCAGTAATATTCGGAACATTTTCAAAACATTCGGAAAAAAATCGGAGTGTGCTGAATAAAAATTTTTTATAGGGTTTATGTAAACTTTGCTTTAATAACTAACTGATAGTAGACTCATCAGTATATCAGAATGGAACGGTTTATTTGCATATGACTTGAAAAATGCAGTTGACCGAAATGAACAAAGCTAGTATAAAATAATTTATCAACCTTCAATTAAGTAGTGATAGAAGTAATGACATAAATTGTTTCAAAAAACTAACATTAATGATATTAACTTCAATAAATGAATTTTACAATGTTTAGATGTTCAGTTGCTATTATAATTAATAAAATACTTGTTATTTCATGGATATATATGTAGTTTTTATTAGATATCCATGAAATAGAGGTTGGAACCGACCAAAAAAACCTTAATCGATTAATAATCGATTAACCAAGGGCCCTAATCGATTAATAATCGATTAATATTAAAATATTAAAAAAATTTTTTTTTTCTGACCGCAGATTGCACCAAATTGTTTTTGATCATACATTTAGTTATAGGAAAGTCTTATTTATTATTATTATCATTAAAAAATTAATACAAATTCTTCCAAGTTCGGAGAACACGTGACCAAAAATTCACAGCTCTGGGCCGCATTAGATAATTTGGCCAGAATTATGGGTTGATAATTTTAATCTTAACCGATTTTTGAGATACCTTAATCGATTAACCGTCTTAGTCGATTAATTAATCGATTAACCTTAATCGATTCCAAACTCTACCATGAAATAACAGTTATTATGTATAACGTATAAACTGATGGATTTTGTAATTTCAATAATTATCATACATGTATTTAATAAATTATAATTCTTTTACTTTATTGTAAAAACTGTAAAGATACATAATATAAATATTCCTATATAACTGATAAATATAATAACTGGTAAATAATTCAACAAATAAAGAAAAATACCAGAATTATTAATCTTTAATTTCAAATTCCAAACCCTCAGACTTCTTATCTTGAAAAAAAAATTCAGTAAGTTTTCGACTTGTATAATATGCCTGTGAATGAGATTGTATAATGGAAGTATTCGCTTGATCTTGTGCTAAAGCTTCCAACATATCATTCTGTATATTAGAAGTATTTGCTTGTTCTTGTACTAAAGCTTTGTTTGCTTCTACAAATTCCAACATATCATTTTCTAATTGATCATCAATTTCATTAGATTTAAATTGATAATTTCCATCACTGTTTATTACATAATATATATCAATACATCTAATCCATTCAGATATAATATGTTCAAGCATTATTATAGTTGGTCTATTGGAAGGATTTGAATCCCAACATTTTTTCATTAAATCTATATAACATTTTGGAGTATTTTTTATAATTTTAGGACGTTTTCCTTCACAAATACTCAAGATAAGATCATAATCATGTGCTTCATGATTAAATGGAGGAATGCCTGATGTAAATTCCCACATTATCATTGAAAAACTATAAATATCACTTGCTTGAGTATAGGGTCTATTTCTTAATATTTCAGGATCCATATAAGGTAAGACTCCATATACTTCATTATTATCAGAATCTTGAAAATCACTTATAGGTTTGCATAATCCTAAATCAATAATAAATAATTCATTGTGATTTTCTGATACTAAAATATTACCATCATGAAAATCACCATGAGTTAAATTTGATTCATGAATTACTTTAAGTCCCAAGATAATTTTTTTCAATAATTGTAATTTGTCTTGCCACTTGGATTTATTTATATCAGATAAACATTTTCTCAAACTTCCTTTTTTTGCACAACTCATCACTATTATATAATTTAAACTAATTGGATCTTGTGTAAATCCAAAAAATTGAATAAATTTTGAAAATGATTTTTTTTGACAATTATAATGATATTTCCACTACAAAGTAATAAAAAAATTATTAAATTTTTGCAAAAGAAAATAAAACCTATTATTAAATATAAATACTATACCTCATCTAGAAATTTACTATCTAAACTTGATGAATTATTAAGTATTTTAAGAACAACATCATAATCTGTTTGTCTATTCCATTGTTGTTTGTCAGAATTCCAACCAAAAATAGGTCCATCTAACCAGATAGCCTTATGAATTTCGCTAAATCCCCCTTTATCATAATAATTAACACTTGTCAATTTATTATAAGGTATCCATTCTAAAATTTCATAACTATTTTTAGTACTGAGTTGTGCTTCTTGTATAAATTTATCAATAAATTCATTTTCACTAGTCCACTTAGAAAAATCTTGTTGAAATCGTTTGGTATTACATTGTTGACACCACTGGTATTCAATATATGGTTGTTTGCATTCATTACATAATTCAACTTCATTTTCAAAACTAACTTTATTACTTTCTGCTATTTTTTGATGCCAATAAAAAGCTTTTTCTAAATTCTTTTCTGTTTCACTTCCATTCTCATATTTACTTGCTAAACTAAGCATTGCATCTTTATTACCAATTTCTGCTGCTTTTTGATACCAATGAAAGGCATTTTCTAAATTCTTTTCTGTTCCTTTTCCATTTTCATAAAAAACAGCTAAATCATACATTGCATTAACATGATCTTTTTCTGCTGCTTTCTGGCACCAATGAAAGGCTTTTTCTAAATTCTTTTCTGTTCCATCTCCATTACTATAACATATGACTAAACCAAACATTGCATATTCATCACCATTTTCTGCTGCCTTTTGATACCAATAAAAAGCATTTTCTAAATTCTCTTCTGTTCCTTCTCCATTACCATAACATGTAGCTAAATTAAACATTGCTTTTTTATGACCATTTTCTGCTGCTTTTTTATACCAATAAAAGGCTTTTTCTAAATTCTTTTTTGTTCCTTCTCCATTTTTATAACATGCAGCTAAACTAAACATTGCCTTTTCATGACCATTTTCTGCTATTTTTTGATACAAATAAAAGGCTTTTTCTAAATTTTTTTCTGTTCCTTCTCCATGTTGATATTTATTTGCTAAATTAAATATTGCTTCAATATTCCCTTTTTCTGCTACTTTTTGATACCAATAAAAGGCTTTTTCTAAATTCTTTTCTGTCACATCTCCATTTTTATAACATATGGCCAAACTACACATTGCTGCTTCTTCACCATTTTCTGCTGCTTTTTGATACCAATATAAGGCTCTTTCTAGATTCTTTTCTGTTCCTTCTCCATTTTCATAAAATGTAGCTAAACTATACATTGCCTTTTCATTCCCATTTTTTGCTGCTTTCTGATACCAATAAAAGGCTTTTTCTAAATTCTTTTCTGTTCCTTCTCCATTATTATAATAAACTGCTAAATTAAACATGGCTTCTTTAATACCATTTTCTGCTGCTTTTAGAAACCAATAAAAGGCTTTTTCTAAATTCTTTTCTGTTCCTTCTCCGATTTCATAATGTTTAGCTAAATTGAACATTGCTTTAATATTACCTTTTTCTGCCGCTTTTAAAAACCAATAAAAGGCTTTTTCCAAATTCTTTTCTGTTCCTTCTCCATTATTATAAAAAACTGCTAAATTATACATTGCTTCTTTATCACCATTTTCTGCTGCTTTTTGATACCAATAAAAGGCTTTTTCTAAATTCTTTTCTGTTCCTTCTCCATTACTATAAAATATAGCTAAGTTATTCATAGCTTCTTTAATACCATTTTCTGCTGCTTTTTGATACCAATAAAAGGCTTTTTCTAAATTCTTCTCTGTTCCTTCTCCATTTTCATAAAATAAAGCTAAATAATACATTGCTTCTTCAACACCACTCTCTGCTGCTTTTTGAAACCAAAAAAAGGCTTTTTCTAAATTCTTTTCTGTTCCTTTTCCATCTGCATAATATGCAGCCAAGTGAATCATTGCTTTAATATGATCTCTTTCTGCTGCTTTTTGATACCAATGAAATGCTTTTTCTAAATTCTTTTCTGTTCCTTCTCCAATTTCATAATGTTTAGCTAAATTAAACATTGCTATAATATCACCTTTTTCTGCTGCTTTTTGATGCCAATGACAGGCTTTTTCTAAAATCTTTTCTGTTCCTTTTCCTTCTTTAAAACATATAGCTAAATTAAACATTGCTATAATATCACCTTTTTCTGCTGCTTTTTGATACAAATGAAAGGCTTTTTCTAAATTCTTTTCTGTTCCTTCTCCATTTTCATAAAATACAGCTAGTTCATACATTGCATTAATATGTTCTTTTCCTGCTGATTTTTGGCACCAATAAAAGGCTTTTTCTAAATTATTTTCTGTTCTTTTACCATCTCTACTATAACATATTGCTAAGTGAAACATAAAACTGGCATTTTCACTTTTTGCTAAATTTTCTAAAGCATTAATACATTCTTTACACCATAATTCTTCATCAGTAAAAGGTTTATTGCAATATATACAATTCTTAGTATTTACTGTATCAGTATCTTTATCTGAGATATTTATTTTAGTTTCCATTTGATTATTTTTGAAATTGTAAAAAAGTTTTTATTTTTTTTTTCAAATAAAGTTTTTTTTTAACACGGAAATACTAAAAAAGGGAAAATTTTTAACCATAATGAAAAAATGATCAACATAATTTTAAACTAAGTTGGTATGCACTATAGTACATCCTATTTGTTACGCAATAGTCTGCTGACTCTAATGATAATCGTTGATTTGTGACCCGAATTTTAACGAGACCTAATCATGTAACATCAACAAAGAAGAATTTTTTTAATATTGTTTATTTAAATATAATAATTATTAATTAGTACAACAGGGTCACGGTTTCAAAAAAAGGTAAATTTCTGCGCCGATCACATAAGGCGACACAAAGTGGTAAAAATGGTTTTCATAGTCCGGCCGGGTCAGTTTTGTTAAGTCTTAAAAAAAAATTTTTTATATTATTAGGCGACACAAAGTGGTAAAAATGGTTTTCATAGTCCGGCCGGGTCAGTTTTTGTTAGGTCTTAAAAAAAAATTTTTTATATTGTTACTATGCCGGGTGAGAATTTTTTAAAAATTGAAAAAAAATTTCACATATAAAATTTTTGAAAAAAAAAATTAAAAGCCGGGTTGCCGGGTTATTGATGAAATTTTTATATTATGAAAACCATAAAATCAAGTTTGTATGGCCTTATAATGATCAATTTGTCATGAAAAAAAAAAATTCCCCAGAAAAATTAGTTATAACGATCTATCGTTACAATAAATAAATAAGTAATTATGTTAGTCTGTTATTGAGTTTGATACAAAAAAATATTATTATCGGGAAAAAGGGCAATTGCCGTGGCGCCGCAACATTGATCACTGATCCAAACCTAAATGGTGAAAGAATGTATTCGGGAAAAAAAAATTCGGTTTAAAGTCAAACTGAAAAAGGAAAAGGGTAAAAAAAATTTCAGATTGGAAAAGAAAGCCAACCGGATGATAACAAAAAAAAATCGAAAAAATAAAAACGAAAAAAAAATTTTGTGGGGAGGGACAAAGAGGAAATCGGGTTGAAAAAACAAAAAAAAAAGAAAGAGGAAAACAAACGAAAATTTTTAAAAGAAAAAAAAAAAGGAAAGACAAAGGTGTTTCGAAAGAGAAAAGAGGAAATATGAAAAAAAAGAAAGAACCATTAAAGGGGAACCGAAAAAATTTAGATCGGTTGGAAAAAAAATATTTTTTAACATTAACTGGAATTTTATTAGATGTACAACATGACTTGCCAATCAAGAGGGTCTTAACTATAAAGAATACGGATCAGTAATTCAAAATTAATTTATACAGGCTAATCTAAACGTTTTAACAAACTGATTTTTTAAAAAATTTCTTAATTTACATATAATGTCTCATAATATTATTTAACAAGAATTCTTTTACGGTAATACTTGATGTGACTGACGTATATAACCAAAGTACATAATGACTAACAATACTATTTATATTATTTTAAAAAACTTGATTTATCAGGTCAATTTAAAATGATTTAAATGATTTGAAAAATTTAAATCAACATAATGTAATATTTGTAACACGAATGACATCAATGAATAAAGTAACATACAGTTTAAGTCGATCATACGTATCTTTTCCGTTGAAAACTGTACTCAAAAAAAAAAAAAATGATAAAAAGTTTATACTCAATAATTAAACAGTTATTTATAAAATAATAGAATTTGTTACGTACATAAAAATAAGGTGACAAATAGGAATTTTCATATCTGATATTGAAAAAGTTCTAAGGTATATTTTTATAACTATGATTAATGTGATGGAAGAATTTATCATATATTGCGAATAAGGCGGAAATTATAATGTTAAATCAATTAAAAATTTATTTGCTGTAACATCAATTGGAAAATTTTATTTAAATTAATTATGAATGAAATAGTAATGAACAGATATATGACATATGGAGAATAAGAGCGTTTAGATTAATAAATTTCATGCAAACTCTACCAACATATACAGTAGTATCGAAAGTATTTGGGATAAACTCAAAGATATGTGGTAGATGTCATGATTGTCATGTTGATGATGAAGTAGCAGAAAGAAATTTCAAAGATAATCCATCGTTACAAGAAGACAATCTCATATTATGCATAGCTATTCACTAACAAGAGGTCTAATTAATTATAAAATTATATCGGATACAGAAGCTAAAAAAGAAAAAGATAAAATATTTAAATTATGTAACGAATATTTAGATGAATTACTTTCCGAATTTGGTTAGTATGTTGTGATGAAGTAATTGTATTTGAAAAGAGTCAAAGTTTAGGAAGGAAAGATAAAAGGAGAACGCATAGTGTTAGAAATGAGTCAACAAGTAAAGGGGAAGGAGTAGGTAGGTTAGTAATAGAAAATTGAAATAATATTAATATTAATAATATTATAAAAAAAAATTAAGATAGATAAAGTCATAAATGATATACTGGGAAACGAAATCAATGAAATAGAGTCTAGGGAAAATAATTGGAACTTTCATTATATAGGAAATTTATAACTTCATTGGATATGATGAAAGAGTGATATCGAGGGAAAATTATTTAATTTGTAATCAAACTCCAGATTGCTTTTATTTTTTTATATGTCCTTTATAATATAATTAATAAAGTATTTCGTTTTATCACTTAAAAAAAAAGACCTAATAAACGTCAAAAATTTGAAACGATCACATCCGTTAAAAAATTTTATCATACAAAATTGTTACACTATTAAAATATGACAAATATGAGATCTTTTTTTTTTATTTCTTGGTTCTTTGAAACGAGTTTGGGCGTCTCTACGAGAAAAAAATTTTAATAGGCTATATTTATACATACTGTATATATATATATACGCTTAAAAGTAGACTAATTAATAAAGTAATTTATTAAATAAAAACATACAAGTTTTTTTTACTGTGGAAACACGTTTTAAGTGACCAACCCAAATTTCAGGAATCGTAATCAAGCAAAAGGAATAAGATATTATCCCATGTAAATAATTTGCGATGGGCTATTTCAATTTATAGTTGAGGAATTAGAACTGCCTATGAAACAATAAAAGTATTATGCTATTACCTTCAATATCCACCTTAAAAAGCTATATAAATGAAAGCTAACAACATTCAGGATGGAAAATAAAACTGCCTTATTATATTCTGCAGTTGAAAATTCCAGTATTCATGGACGGACTGGCTTTTTTTCTCATGATTCCTTTAACATACATAAAGGTTCGTCTTGTTCAGTTAATAATATCTTTATTAAAAAAATATAGTAAAAGTATTATTAATTTTACCTGTATTTACTATTTAATAGGTAACTAAAACTAGGAAATGAATCAAGATCCTACTTCCCGTGGAATATTGTCGAAAAAAATCATTTTATTAAAATGAAGTTTTTTTTCTTTTTCTTGGAAAATAATGAGGACGTGATGAGATTTTATTGAAATTTATAAATTTCGCAAGATTACAAAAATAATAATTCTTACTTTTTAAAGATTAAGTAATTAAATTATAAAGTACCAAGTAAATAACATTATTTAAAATACTGCGAGTAAAATATTTTAGAAAGTTATCAAATTGTGATTCTATATCATATAAGTAACAAATAATAAAAATGTTCTTTTACAAAATTAATTTTTTTCCTTTTTTTCAATTAATTTTTTGCAAGAATTATTAAATGAAATGGGTGGGATACTATAAATCACTTGAAATATATTAGTTTCTCAAGAGCAGAAATAAATATGAAAATAAAATTTTATTTATAGGTATAAAATACTAAGGTAATGAACATAATGAAAAGACTTGTTTAATTTTATTGCTCAATTACAAACTGATATTATTTATGTAAAAATAGTTTTACACATACTCTATAATCATTTAATCAGTGTTAAACAAACATAACGGAACTCTGATAATATCCTAATTTATAAAAAAAATATTTATGTCATAAATATAAAAATGAATAAAATGAATTTCTATAATAAGTTATTTAATAAAGAAAATAAGAACAATTGATAGACTTTCTAGTAAAATTAATTCCGATCATTTTTTATCATTTGATCTATTAGATATTTTTAAATTTTAATAAATTCCTTTTTAAAATTAATTGATAAATTAAGAAATTTAAATAAATATAACTTACCCTCCTTACTCTGTAAAATCAGTTGCAAGTCCTTCTGTATAAGGATTAAGTAACCGAGATGTATAAATAGCTTGTGGATGAGTAGTAGTTAATTGATTGTTTTCTTTATAATCTTTAAAGAGATATTTTTCTGCTTGTTCAATCGCATTTATTAAATCATAATCCGTCACATTTAACATAGTGTCAACATTTGGTCTAATATCCGGATTTGAATCCCAACATTTTTTCATTAGATCAATATACCAATTTGATTTCAATTCAGGTATTTCAGGTATTTCGGGTCTAATTCCTCTACATATATCTAATGCTAATAAACCATCATGTGCACAATTTTCAAAAGGTTGTCTTCCAGTTATTATATAATACATAACCATGCCAAAGCTATATATATCTGCTGCTTGAGTATAAAGATTTCCTCTTAATACTTCAGGAGCTACATAAGGCATTACTCCATAAATTTTTGTTTTATTTTTATCACCAACTTCTCCACATAATCCCATATCTGAAATATGTATACCCAAAGGAATGCCTTCAAAATTGACATTATTATTAACTAATATATTCCCTATATGAAAATCTTGGTGAAACATCTGCTTCTGATGAATTTCTTTAAGACCATAAAATATTTCAATAAATAAACTATATTTAGTACTATGATCAAAATCTTTATAGAAATAATGCATCCAATTATTAATACTTCCACATTTTGCATATTGAAGAACTATAATATGATTTTCTGTAATGGGGTTTTGAGATATTCCATATACTTTAAGAACATTATTATATTCATAACCAGTAATTGAATATGCTTTTACCTATATAAGCATAAAAAAAATCAATATATTAAATAGTTATTTTAAATTTATTAAGAAATTTCATACCTCATTTAAAAATTCGTCAGTAATATTGTGTGAATTATTTATACATTTTAATGCAACTTCTTTATTATAATTATCTCTTTCATATAACCCTTTATAATAATTTAATGGGCCGACTTTCCATATTGCTGAATATATCGTAGCAAAACCACCTTTACCTACTTCTTCAATATAATCAAACTGATCATATGGTATCCATTCAAATATTATATTATGATAATCATCAATTTTCAATTGCATTTCTCGAATAAAATCATTAATTTTTTGATTTCCGCTCCAATTTGTTAAATTATTTTGTATATAATTTATTTGGCATGATTTACACCATTTCTTTTTTAAATTACTATATGGCTTGCAACATCTATTACAATACTGATCAATTTGAAAAACTAAAATATAATCATTTGTATTTGGGTTTTGAGATATTCCATACATATCATTATAATTGTTAGCCTATTAAATATGAATAAATTATTATTTGAAGTAAAATATTTAAGTTAAATGTAAATAAATTTCATACCTCAATCAAAAATTTATTGATATCTAATGTTAAGCATTTTAATACAACTTTTTTATAAGAATTCCTTATCCATTCTTTTCTATCTTCTTTATGATATAATGGACCATTCTTCCATATTGCTGAATGGATAATAGCAACATTATTTTCAACTTTTCCAATCTCTTTAATATCAATAAACTGATTGTATGGTATCCATTCAACTACTATATTATTGAAACTATTCATCTTTATTTGCTTTTCTTGAATGAAATTATCAATTTTTTCATTTCCACTCCAATTTGCAAAATTATTTTGTATACATAACTTACACCATTTATTTTTTAAATCACTATATGGTTTACCACATCTTTTACAATTCCTATTTTGAAGAATTAGAATATAATCATTTGTATTTGGATTTTGAGATATTCCATATATGCTATTATTATATTTGTAAGCCTAAAAAATATAAATAAGATAGTTAATTTCTTTAAAATATTTAAGTTATTGAATTTATAAATAATTTTTATACCTCATAAAGAAATTCCTCAATATCTAATGCTAAGCAATTTAATATAACTTTTTTATTAGAATTCCTTATCCATTCCTTTTTATCATATCTATAAAATAATGGACCATTTTTCCATATTGCTGAATATGTAATAGCAGCATTATCATCAACTTTTTCAATTTCTTTAATATCAGTAAATTGATCATATGGTATCCATTCAACTATTCTATGAATCCAATTATTAATTTTTAATTGCATTTTTTGAATAAAATCATCAATTATTTCATTCCCACTTAAATTTGTAAAATTATTTTGTAAAATTAACCATGGTATACATTTCTTATCATTTAAAATTATAAAATAATTTTTTGTATCTGGATTTTGAGATATTCCATATATATCTTTGTAATTATTATCCTATAAATATAAATAAATGATTATTTGAAGTAAAATATTTAAGTTGGCATGTAAAAAAGTTTCATACCTTATTGACCTTATTGAAAAATTCCTTAATATCTATTGCTAAGTAATTTAGTACAACCTTTTCATTAGATTTACTTATCCATTTATTTTCATAATATAATGGACCATTTTTCCATATTTCTGTGTACATAATAACAGTATTATTATTATTTTTTGCCATTTCTTTAATGTTAATAAATTGATTGTATGGTATCCATTCAACTATTTTATTATAATATTTGTAAATTATTAATCGCATTTCTAGAATAAAATTATCAATTATTTCATTTCCACTAATCCAGTTTTTATTTATATGAAATGATTCACACAATCTACTAATATATTCATTTGTATATAATTCACCACATTTTTCACAATATTTATCAATTGATAAAACTATGATATATTCTTTGGTATCTGGATTTTGAGATATTCCATATATTCCAGATATGTCATTATTATTGTTAGTCTATATATATTAATAAGTATAAATGTCTATTTATTTGAAGTATTTAAATTAAACTTATAAAATAATTATCATACCTTACTAGGAAATTCATTGATATCCAAAGATTTTAATACAACATTTGTATAAAAGTTTCTTATCCATTCCTTATTAATATATAATGGACCATTCTTCCATATTGCTGAATATATAATAGCAGTATTGTTATTATCTTTTGCAGTTTCTTTAATACTAATAATTTGGTTGTATGGATCCATTCAACCATTTCATTATAAAGACAACAATTTTTCAATTGCATTTCTTGAATTAAATCATCAATTTTTTTATTTCCACTCCAATTTGCTAAATTATTTTTAAAATAATTCATTTGACATGCATTACACCACTGACTATATATATTTGTATATTGCTTACTGCATTTTTCACAATATTCATCCTGTGAAACTATGATATAATTTCCTGTATCTGGATTTTGAGACATTCCACACATTAAAGAATAATACTTCTTATGAAAGGAATCATATACATTACAGTTGTCAACCATGAGTATATCTTTAACCTGTTTAATGTAAATAAATTATTATATTAAAAAAAAAAAAAAGAATTTGAATCAAACTTAAAATAATTTTATACCTTATTAAGAAAATCATCAATCATATTTTGTGATTTATTTAAATAATTTAATGTAATCAATGTAACTTTTTTAGGCTTTCTTACTATTTCCTCTTTAATAGAATTATAATATGATGGACTATCATTCCATATAGCTGAATGTATTGTAAGTAAATCATTTTTTTCTATTTCTTTAATATTAACAAACTGATTATATGGAATCCACTCGCATATATTTCCATCATCTGTTAATTGTAATTTTTGAATAAAAAAATCAATTTTTTCATTTCCGCTCGTCCATTTTGTAAAACTATTTTTTAAATAATTTATATGATATGTCCGAAACAATTCATCCTCAGATATTCCATTTCGTAAAATAATGATATATTCTTTTGTATTTGGGTTTTGAGATATCCCATAGCATGTATTGTAACTTTTAGCCTATTAAATATAAATAAAGTTATTATTTCTTAAAGTATTCAAGTTTATAAATAATTTCCATACCTCGTTAAGTAATTCATCAATAATATTTTGTGAATCATTAAAACATTTTAATGTAACTTGTATATTAGGGTCTCTCGTCCATTCCCGTTTATAATCATTATAACATAATGAACCATTACTCCACAATGCTGAATATATAGTAGCAGTTTTATCAACAACTTTTCCTATTTCTTCAATATTAATAAATTGATTGTATGGTATCCATTCAACTATTTTATCATCGAAACTATTAATTTTTAATTGCATTTCTAGAATGATATCATCAATTGTTTCATTTTCACTGGTCCAGTTTTTAAACTCATTTTTAAAATAATTTATGTGACATGACCCACACCATTTAATACGTTTATTTGTATATTTTTCACCACATTTTTCACAATATTCATCTTGAACAATGATGTATTCTTTTGTATCTGGATTTTGTGATATCCCAATATTGTAATTTTTATCCTATTAGATATAAATAAAGTTATTATATTTTAAAGTATTTAAGTTAAACTTAAAAAATAATTCCCATACCTCATTAAGTAATTTATCAAAAATATCTTGTAAATCTCTAAAACATTTTAATGTAACTTTTAAATTAGGGTTTCTTATACATTCCTTTTTATATTCATTATAACGTAATGAACCATTATTCCACAATGCTGAATATATAGCAGCAGTATTATCATCAATTTTTTCTATTTCTTCAATATTCATAAATTGATTGTATGGGATCCATTCAACTATTTTATCTTCGAAACTATTAATTTTTAATTGCATTTCTTGAATGATATCATCAATTGTTTCATTTCCACTGGTCCAATTTTTAAACTCATTTTTAAAATAATTTATGTGACATGACTCACACCATTTAATACGTTCATTTGTATATTTTTCACCACATTTTTCACAATATATATCTTGTAAAACAATGATGTAATCTTTTGTATCTGGGTTCTGAGATATCCCATGTATGTTTTCATGACATATTTTAGCCTATTTAATATAAAAAAGTTATTTTGAATATTGAGTTATTTGAATTAAACATAAGAATTATACTCATACCTCAATCAGAAATTTATCAATCATATTTTGGGAGTTGTTTAAACATTTTAATGCAACTTTTATATTAGGCTTTCTTGTTAATTCTTCTTGATTAATATCATAATGTAATGAACCATTATTCCATAATGCTGAATATATAGTGACTGCATCATCAACATTTTTTTCTATTTTTTTAATATCAATAAATTGATTATATGGTATCCATTCAATTATTATATCATAACAATCAATCTGTAATTGCTTTTTTTGAATGAAATCATCAATTTCTTTATTGCCACTTGTCCAATTTGTAAAATTATTCTTTAAATAATTTGTTTGACATGATCCACACCAACTTATATATTTTCTTATATATTTTTCACTACATTTGTTACACACTTCGTAATGATATA